TTACCTTGAATGGTGTGAAAATGCAGCTGCTGCCCGTGCTCGACATGTCGCGATGGCGGCTCTCTTCCTCTTCCGTGAAGCTCTATCCTTATGATTTGTCATGACTCATGTGAAGCCTGGCAAGGCACTTGTGCTGCAGGTACTCCCACACGCACTCGCAGCGCACGCTAAGCAAACTCTAAAGAAGCCCTCTACGCGAGCAGTGGACACCAGAGGATGCGGCAGAAATGCGTTCTATCTCTAGTGTATTACGCTACTACAGCACTGTCGCCTTCCGTGCTGAGCACGCATTTTTGTGTCCATCCTTATCCTCACTCAGTCCGCCTCCCCCCTCGTCATGCTGCCTCGCACCTTCAGGCTAGCATAGTGGCTGTTATTCCAAATCTCCTGCCCTCGTGCGAGGCCATCTAGACTATTCAGGTGTTAGTGGTGTCGCCTTGGGCACCACTTCTTGGTACCTGGTAAAACGCGTTCCTCGCTCACTATTGACGGGAGACTAGCTGGAGGAGAAAGGCGCGTCCTGTTCGCACATTGTTCACTGATAGCCGCGTGGCTAATTTACTTATACGTACGTGGCTTTGGAAGTCTTCCTAGTTAGGAAGCACATGGCGGCAGCCACCGGCTGTGTGTGAGAGAGGGTCGGGAGAGGAGGCAGTTGTCGTTACTTAGGTAAAAGAGAAAAACTTAGCGGACTTTAGTCCCGAGAAGCTCTTGCTTTCTGTCCTCGCAGATGTCTTGTAGTGTGCGAGAAGTGCACACAAGACCAACACGACGAGTGGTCGGCGTTCCTTTGTCGTGAAAAGTACTCTGGGTCGACTTACCCCTCGAAATCCAGACCTGCCTGGCGCATTTGTGGGATACGTCTTTCTAGCGCATTACCCCCGTTTACATGGTCGTGATGCGCCAGTTGTCGTGCCGGCTTACGGCAAACTGTCGACGCCCGGCTATACGCAAACGTGCTTTCTTATCGAGGAAAGACGAACTGGACCCCACTCCCAACAACAGTGGAGACGGCGTGCCGGCCTCTTGTTGAATGAAGTTAGTCGCCCCAGCTGGCAGCCGACTGACTGGCAATTGCCTCGAGCTGTCAGGCTGTAATCAATTTTACACGAATGCCAGAGTAGCCCATCGACTTTGCAAGCGCGTTTCGGAAAGGTGATGCGACGCCGTTTGCAGGACCTCTCGTCTTCTGTACGCCGCAGCTACCATGTGGTGTCGGATTACGGCGAGCGAGTATCGGATTACAGCGACTTGTAGCTGGGCGAGTTGGTTTATGTAAAAGAACTAAAAAAAATAACTCATTAGCTTAGTCGTGCCTCGAGCATGGGAAACAGAAATTCGCACAATTTTCTGCGTCATCAACCACTATATAAATAGGTACATATTAGCGCGAGCAAAATAACAATGACTTGAGAAAGGAGTGGCAGGAGGCAGGAATATCTCAGCTCCCGACATTTCTGCTTCGTCCCACTTCTTTTTCGAGTGTTTTTGTTTTCTTGAGCTAATATTAATAAATTCGTTATAGCGAAAGAGGGACGCACGAAGTTCGCACAACGGGGGGCCACCATTCCCCTCATCGTGATTTACGGCCCGTGAATCGACCGGCACTCGCAAAACTGCCCATTTCCTACGCATTAGTGCAATGCGCCTTCCATTGCTTACATGAATGCGAAGCGCATGTTTCGCACTCATGTAAACGTGTTTTATGCACACCGATGTCACCACACTTTCTTATAAACTTATCCCTTTCAGAAACGTTTCTGTTCTTTTCGAGCTACTAGGCGTAAGTCCAAGATCGGCTATTTCTACTCGTCAGCCTTATGACTCACGCTAACGAGTCAAGGAGCTGCTATCTTGACGCATTGACAGTTCTCCGCACAGCAGACTTCCTAATGACGAATTGTCAGCAGGTGCCGCATGCCCTTGACATTTTTCTCTATTCTTTTTCTCCCCTTCCCCCTCCCCGTGTAGGGTATCATATAAGCCTTTCCTTTGCCTTTCTCTCTCTCTCTCTCCTTCAGGCGAAAGCGTCGGCAGGGTGCCTTGTCGCATGGTGTTGTACACTGGCACCGAAGAAAACCAACAAGTTCTCTACTCGACGTTGCAATCCTTAGATTGAGTGGCATAAACCCTCAGTGCATAGGAAATATAGATGGGCTTCACCACTACCGCTCCCCCACCAGACCTGCTCAGTGGGAGCATAGTCAAAAGTTATCCGCCTTTCTGCCTCCCTGAAGGACCTCACTTGTCGCGGGTGCTTCAAAGCAGAAAAAAAAAAACAAGAGCCCTGGTGCCTCATTGCTGTCCCCGCACCGAAGTACTTTCTTACACCACGCCGTGCATTCAGCAAATTTCATGCCACTTCGCGTCGTTGTTACTGGCTGAAAAATCTGCAAGATTTTCAGGCAGTAGCATGATTTTAGCCAGTTTATGCAGTGAGCAACGGAATAAATATTGCTCGGTTTTGTGGTTTATTGAAACCGATGACGGATATTCACAGCTGACTCCGAGAGAAGAGTTTGAAAGCGCCCGCGTCCCCTTAGAGCGAGTTTGCAGTGATTATGAGGAACGCCGTCATGGGGTACTTCAGAACATTGGTGTTCGCGCATTTCGGCGCTATGGAAATGTGCGCTTGTCGTATATAAAGGCGGAAAGCGAACACGCGTCCTCAACTCCTGCCGCACCGTAGTTTTCCCCAGAGTGAATAAATGAAATAAACACGCAGAAAGTACAAAACAGACTTCATCTCATTCCTGTAGGTGTGCCTCGTTTCGTGTTTGTGCTGTTTGTTGTGATGGGTTCATACGAACAAGCGCAGCACGTCTGAAGCTCCGTATATTTCACGGTAAAAAAAAAGATATTCACAAATACCTTACTCACGCACGTCTGCTCAGTTCGCTCGTATCGCTCGTTTGTCGTTCGTTTTTCTGCTTTCTTCTGACTGTCGTCGCACAGCCCTCGCTTTTCGCTTTAGTCCGTGGGGGGTGAGGAGGGCGACAAAGACGTGCACACATAAAAGAGGGACTTTCCATGAATTCGGCCTTTCTTTTCCCGTGAAGACGCTCACCCCACCCTCTCGGAGGATACTGCCGACCTGTTTTCACGCTCTCCCGCGGTACCGCGCAGCCTTATGAGACTCTGAGGGGAGGAAGGCTTACAGATGACGGTGCATGGTTTGAAGTTAGAAAAGACGTTTCCTCCTGAGGCAAATGTTTTTGCACGCCGCATTCGGGGAGACAGGGAACCTTCAAATTCAGCGCTTTCCTTATTTTGTTTAGGTGGCGCTAGGGGAAGATTTTCGTTGTAGTGATAGGAATAATGTAGATTTCTCAATATTCCTGCAGCTGTTGTGTGCGATTCGTGTGCATAAGTATACCAGGAGACCGTAACTGTTATAGTATAGGCTATGCATGCTTAGATTTCATTGCTATTTCAAGATAACAACGACTTTGTTGATGTTTACGGCACGATAAATTAAGACAATTCGCGAGCTTTGTTTCGCATTTCTGCTTACTTTATTGAAAAACGCTACGTTGAGGAAATAGATCAGGGGTTCTAGTTTATCTACGTGCAAATTCAGCAAACGAACTTCAGTAGTTCTCCGCAAAAATGGGCCACGGTAGGTCTATCTAATGAGAATATTGCCCAATTTAGATCAATATAATTAAAAAGTGAGCGGGCGTACATAAATAAAATTGAGCACTCAGACGGAAAATGACATCCTCTATATACACCCAGAAAATGAATTTTCTCTAGCGAATAGGTGCCGGATAGTTCGCATCGACATTTACTAAATTTGGCTCTTTTCAAAAGCTAATCAGCAATACAGTAAAAGTGCTAGAATAATTTGCTAAGTTGAGGAAATAGATAAATATGTCTTAAATGTTCTGCGCAAAGAACAGTGCTGTAACTGCAGCAGATTTTTCAGAAAATGGTCACTGCTGACACACAGTCAGACCAAACCATGTAACTAGCGCTTATTCTTGGCTTTCCCTACCCAAATGCTAAAAGCTTACTTATTTTTAATAGATATGTTTAAAATGTACAAAAATTAAGCTTTTCAATGACACATAAACCAATATATAAGACAAGAAGAACAGCCGCCACGTCAGTTGGAAAAGTGACAAAAACGATGTGCTCGTGCCGCCGGAGTGAGACCGCCGCCTTAAATACAACTTATGAAACCAGTACAAAAATGTAAAAATATTCAAGGCAATAAAAGAAATATGTGCATCAGTTGATTACACAGAAAAAAAATTTCACAGTGACAGCAGACATTAATTAAAGTTAGTGCATCACACTGTTTTGTTGTGGCATAAATGTTTAATATATAATGACATAAATATTAGATAAATAAGTACGAATTAACAACAACAGTGAGGATACTCAAGGAGAGCCACCATGAAAAGTAAGTGCATCATTATAATATAATATTAATTACAAAACTACATTAGAAAAAAAACCACTACGATAACAGAGTACATACGATAAAATTTCACACACAATAATTGTGATTTCTTTACTGTAAATACTTGTGATAAACCAGATAGACCAGTTCACTCAAAAAAACAAATACATTTTTCATCATGCTGAGAATTGCAAATATTAACCAATAAGCACAGTGATGAAGTGGGGTGGACTAATTAATGAAACTTTTATATGCGTATGTAATGTCCGTGCTGTGCACAACCAAGCAGAACATAAGCTCGCAAGAACATGTAAACTTGAGAAAATGGGTAGCTAGTACTAAAGAAAAAAAAGTTCTTTATTAACTGTATTTCCTTGCATATAACTGGCATCCCTATTTCATAGGCATATTTTTCTCGTTTTTCGGTGCGGGTCATGCGCGAGAAAATAGGACATGTAGCACCCTTTTACAGCAATGCTGCCACAATATTTTTATTATTCTGGACAGCAGTTTATTGACTGAGCTTGCCTTGACTTTTGCCGTTGGCGTACCTTGAAAACACACAGTATATCAAAACAAACATGCATCTTACCACACCGTTGATGTGCCTCTGAACCAACTCCCTGCCTTCGGTTTTGGCAATGCGACGCCACGTCTCCTGTGAATATATGCGCACTCCATCGGCAGTGTAGTATCTGCAAAATGTGAACGATCGTGAAAACTATGACACACGTATGAAAAAATTACACAAAGGTCATGTTTTTCAACTTATGACTTCAATACTCCCACCCCTGCAAGTATTGCATCACGGTTCAGTTATAGAGAATTCGTCACAGGTTGATTAGTTAAGAAATTAAAGGAATCTCTACATCACACTGACATATCCATAGAAGGGCATATAAGCACAAAATTTTAAAATTGAAACCAATTTTTATGTAATACCTTGAAAATTTATATATTTTATTTACAATACTGCCAGTCCCATGTCAATACTATGGCAGCTGGGCGTACGGTTTACATAAAGTTCAAGTTTCACTACAAAGGGCATACAACAAATACAGCACTTTCTTTTTTATAAAAGTACAACAAACTGAAATACACTGAAATCTAGAACACTGAAGTATGAATAAAATATACAACAGAATTGTGCAACAAACTAAATATACAACTAAAAAGAACACATAGAAAATAAGAATCAAGTTTGGTCCAGAAATATAGAACTTCAGCAAACATCAGTACAAAGATGTTGCTTGCAATAATGGAAACTAAGAAACATCATTACACAAAGGCTGTTCCCTGACTGCTTATAACGTCTACCAATAGTTTAGCAAGTGAACCCATTGTTGTAAGATTAACAATGCCACAGTTTTCAAGGCATGATTTTTCAGTTTACATTCATTCAAGGCTGCTCCTATGACATTTGGCCTTCTAGCGTTTCGTTGAGGACAGCTACCTGTTAAGGCACATCTGCGGCAGTAGATCAGGAAAGAAGAGCTCACGCTCCTTCTCGGTGAAGGAGAGCAAGAACTTTCGGGTCGCCTCTGACGCTGCCAGCCGAACCTGCAACGCCGTTACGAAAGGAGCTGCAGTTATTTTCTTGTTTTTCGAACGGTTCTCTCAATCAAAATCAGCGAGATAGACAACTGGAAGCACAGTTCCCACCTGACTCCAGTTGTCGGCCAAACCAAGTGCGAGGCACTTGCTAATTCTCGGCCCATAGTGGTTTGCAGCGAAGGGGTTTTTCGATCCCATTGCTGTAATAGTGCACGTCAAGACTGTCAAATTCTTTGCTGTTACCTTTTGCGGTCGTTATTCCATGCCTTATTGGCAAGCATTGTGACACCAAACAGCATCGTGACACTCGACTGTGTTGTGATGCTCAATAAGCTTGTGACGCTCAACTCAATAGTCATTCCCCATAGCGATGTGATGCTTAACAGCATCACCAAGCAGCTCAGAGGTTTGTGGTTGAGGCATACAGAATGAAAGAAAAGTAGATTTTGAATGGGCACAAGAGAAACATCCCTGCCAGAACACCAAACATGATACTCAGAATGAATAGCTCCATGGAACGCAACCCGATCTTCCATAGTTCACGACTTAAAGGGCCACCCAACAGACCTAATAACAAGTTTTACTTAGACCGTTGAAGTTGTTGTGTGTCCAATGAAGAGAATTATGCCACAAAAAGTTTTTCAATCAATTCATTGTGAGCTGAGAAAACTTTTTTTGAAGTGGCAGGAAAGGAAGATGCGAGAAGGCGAGCTTAAAACCCTTGCCACTCACCCCGCGTAGCCTTTGCAATCCAAATCTCTTCCCTACCCTCTCCTGCCTTGAGGTAACGTGTGCAAGATGTGCCTGAACAAGCCCACCCCCAAAGCATGCAGGCAGCATTCTTTTGTTGACTAGCGTTATTTTGTGGTCGGTCTACTGCCTGTTTCTGCAGGATGGTTTGGAAACGCTGGCTTAGATGTGGTACAATAGATGAGCATAATGAGTGCTCAACGCGCAGGACCATTTACTTCGTCTCCAGGGCTGGCGTCTGCTTGATGCACTGACCGCGGGGACACGAACGCATGTGAAATGCAGGCACATTAGTCTCGCATGTTGTTGCAATTCACAGAAAAAAATGAAAAAGGACGCACACATTTCCTTTTTGTGTTTTGTTATTTATCTCATGTTTTATTCATATATTCAAGCAATAAATTACACAAACTACACGTCATGTGAAATAATTCTTGCCCTGTCACGTGCTACTGTTGGGGACGTCATATGTCACAGCACTATCATCTACGTAGGGCAATTCCTACGTGTATGTCATGCCCTCATTCTGTGGGCACACACCCGCAAAAGGAAGGCAGAGCAGCGTTTATAGTGAAATTCACCCTGTTTCAACGGCGTGTAGTGTTGCTAATTTTCCCAGACGTGATCGTGAACGCCCCATGAACGCATTGTGCTTGTCAGCTCAAAATTGTCATACCTGGTGAGTGGCCCTTTAATGAAAAAAATCTCCATTTTAAGGCAAGTGCCAATGTAGTTCAAGAGAGAGAGTGAGAAAGGAAAGGCCGGGAGGTTAACCAGATATTAGCATCTGGTTTGCTACCCAGCGCTGGGGGCGGGGAAGTAGGGGCAAGAAAGAGGGGGTAGATAGAGGAAAAAGAAAACGCACGTGCACTCATAAAAAAAATGAAAACACACACAGGAAGGGCGTCCTAGCTACAACCGTTCAGTAAGGCCAGTCGATCGCAAAAAGTGTAGTAGCGCTTTCAGGGCCCTCTTCTGTGAAGTCGCATCCGCCCATGTACTTCAAAGTTGGCACCAACCCAAATGAACTAATCGAACTTGGCACCAGATGCAAAATAACGAAGGTTTTCCAAGGATAAATTACTACAAAGTGACGATTTCTTTAAAATTCTGACACATACGGCTTTTTCTTCAAGCATGCACCGTATTACTATTGTGGTAAAACATCAAAGCACCCTAAACACAACCCCAGTATTATTTTGGCAATGCTCCATACCATGCCAATGAACCAAACAATAAACTCAAAAGTTGGCAGCACTATTACGCAGCACACTGCACTAGTGATGGTAGTGGTTGTTGTTGTTATTTAATAGTTTATGCGACAAATGACACAGATCACCTCCTAGAAACTTTCTTGCTCAGCCTGTTCACACAATCACCGAGAATGATTAGCCCCATCTTTGAGTATTGGCAACTTGTCACAGTGTCACGTGCCCATCTACTCGGCTGGCGCTGCCCAGACATCGAAGGCACCATATCTGAGCGATGCCGACACAACACAAGAAAGAGGACTGATGATGTCGTCTTTCTCGTGTTGTTTTTTTTTTGCACTAAAATGTTGTCACGGATACACGCCAATTAACGGTCATCACACTGTGTGATTGGCTAAGCCAGCGAAATTACCTGAGCAACAGGTGATGAGAGACGAGATGACGCAAAACGTCGTCTCGCGTACGAAGCGGCTGACGTGTTGCACCGTTCTGCACAGAAGTTCGAGGAGAGTGTTGTCCACAAACTCCTCGAAGCTTGCTCCGCAGCCGTCGATGACATACTGCAGGCACCTGGGTCGACGGATGGGAGTCGGCAGTATTCACGTACATATTGTATCACACAGGGTAACACCGATTTTTTTTTTACAGCAATGACAGAATACTGATGTGATAGAGCAACACACAACATTCACAATGCCACACTCATGTCATTGGCTTTCCTTTCACGTACTGAATTACTTATTTACAATACTACCATTCTTCTGCGAAGCATAACAGTTAGGCAGTGCATTAATTTTTCACGAAAAATTTCCACAACAAACAAAGTTAGAAGCAAACACATACAAGTGCAGTAACAGGATATGAAGATCATGAATGCAATTGATGAATGCAGAAGTTGGAAAACTAATAAAAGTGCATCACATATACAATAACAACAGGATATAATGTAAGCTATACATATTATACACTGTCAAGATGAAATTAAATAGGTAATATTAAAGAAAAAACATGATAAGCTTTTATGAGTGGACAAATGCAATCGTGATAGCATTAGTATCGGAAGAGTAAGAAGCATTAAAACAGAAGGAACTGGAACTGCAAGCACTGAGAACATATATGGCAAAGGGCTAAACTTTCGCAAAAAAAGAAGGTTGTGAAAATTCATATCACGTTACATAATGGACATCAATCTGCCCAAGTGCTTCTGCATGCATAGCTACTGTTATGTGCACAGTTTTTTCTATTTGTGAAGTAAATTTGGATAATGATTCGATGTAATTTGCTTGCAAGTTCGTCATTTCATTGGATCTCGCAGTGCATAGACTTTTGCAGCTGACAGCATGCTCCAACTTGGATGCCACGCACAGCACGATACCCCGCATATTTTTCAAACCGAGTTCACACTAAACACACCTTTCAATGCAAAGTAATCGGTACTAACTTCATGCTTGTCTCCAGGTGCCTCCAGCCGACGGTGTTTAGCAGGACCTTTGCAGCACTCGATCCATCGGACTAGCGTCCAAACAGAAACAGCACACATCTGAGGTTGTAGTCCAAGCGATAGCTCACAATAAAACAACACTCGCAATCAGTAGAATGTGCTTGATGTGTGCAGTGTAATTAACTAAGGTTATACATTGATGACTTGTGAAGTAACTAAAGCAACGAATGGCAATCAATTAACACTTTTCAAACCAGATGGTACACCTTTTGACTCAATTAACTTTGTAATTTTGTTTTGTAACCATAAACCAGTGGCACAAATCCAGAAAAATTGCAAATGGAGGAAACATTTCAAAGTGGTGGCCACATTGTTTTTTGTAAATATAAGTTTTGCTTCTAATCATATCAATGAAATCAAAATTGCCTTTCAAAATAAATTCAGAAAAAACTAGCAGGATTTTTCTAAATAACACGATCACAGTTGAGCAATCATATTCATACTTTATCGTCAATGGCTTCCACTGGATCGTCGACATCGGTACGTGAGCAGAGGTTCCTTGCTTACTCAGCACTTCAAAGCCCGCCGTAATAAAAGATTTGTGGCACATCAACCCGGCGCATTTCAGAAAATTCATGCTCTACAGTGCCTTTTGAAACGGATAGTAGTTTTTACTTTTGTAGTTTGTTTTCTCCTATTTGGTAGGCCAAATAGGACATTCAAGGCAATCGTATCATACTCCTTCAAAACAAAATTTGGGAATTATCAATGAATGGAATGCCACAACTTGTTAACTTTGTCTACTTGCTTGAAACTACACTCTAGCACACTTTGCTCGAAATTTGCATTTTTACAGAGAACTTTGACAAATTTACAGGGCTGCTCTTTCGCGCTTTATCAATCTTTCCTCATATTTCCTTTTCTTCGAGGATCCTCTCAGCCATCTGCTAGCTTTGTTTTCACGTTTGAACCCTGTTTTGGCCACAAGGTCTGCGGTGCACTAGTGCATATCAGCAACTAGACTGCGCTAATTACTTATGGCGACAGTTTCGGTTCACAGAACTATTCAGATTTCTTATAGTTTCGTTTAGCGGACGAATACGTGCAATGCGAAGAGCGCTACGTACAGAAACGCCGCCGTTTCGCTCTTCAACTCCTCCTGAAAGCTGCCGCACTCCGACGGGTCCTTGTCCAAGTAGGTCTCGATGAAGCGCGTGAGGTCCTTGTGATACTTCGCGTACAGTTTGACGCCGTCGACAGCGCAGAGGGTGCCCAATACTTGACCTACATACACAACGTATACGAAAGCAACGGATGTTCAATAGAAAACGCATTACACGAGTTGAGCAAGTATGCGAAACCACGAAAAAAAAAGTAACACGATCGAAGGGCGCGGCGCGATAACCGAAACTCACCGGCTTCTAGCCGCACGTTCACGCTGGGGTCCGTCACCAAGGAAATGCAGACGCGAGCGACGCTTTCGTCGAACTCCTCGTTGCTGGCTTGCTGCGAGCTGCGTCGGTGTTCGACGATCGCCTTGGCGCTCAGGAGCGCGCCGATCTTCGATTCCCAGGAGCACTTGTCGCTCTCCTGAAGCTTGGCGAGCACGGCGGCTTCGAAGACGCTCGCGTCGGCGCCCTGCGCGGTTGTCAAATACCTCTGCGCCTCTTGATAGCCGCGATCCCGTTCCAGGGAAGTCGGGCTGCACAGCAGTTTCAGCGCTTCCATCGACATATTGCAACTACGAGAAGGGCCGACCGCTCGCTGGTCGCAGTCCTCCTTCCGCGTTTGCGAGCGACTCAGCTGATCAAGTCGGTCGAGAAGTCATTCCAGCCAGACCACAGAACACCTGCCAGACGTTCCCAAGCTTGCCAGCTACACGCTCGACGCGATCGCTAACTACGAGATCCGTGGACTCAGTGGCGCTGGCGTACGACACTGCGGCGCGCATTAAAAATAAATACCCTATATCGCCTCATGGACGCGCTCGTAAGCTCATTTCCTTGTCTATTGACTTGTAATTTTTATTTGTCATTCTGAAAAACACGTTCTCCAGGAATACTTTTCCGTAGCATCAACAACTTTCTCTGTTTTTTTTTTTTTAATAAAAAGAGTAATAAAACAAATCTCGCGCGCTCGCGCCGCATCAGCGCTACGCGATTGGGTCCGAGACTTCAGGTGCTATTTGAATCAATGGCGGTAGGCCGGACTTGAGAGGTATGTGTTAATTTTTTTTAACCATTTAGCTCCTTCTGTAGCGCCCACAAAGCGTTCCAGAAGGCACGTGAAACACAGGGTACCCGTACTGCGCCGCAGCCGCGGCTGACATCGTGATCGCGCTACGGGTACCGGTTGTTTTTTTCTCCGCTAACGTCACAAGTTAGGCCTAAGCTTGACGGTAGGCTTAGCGCGCCTTCGTATTCGAATTGTAACTCCGCGCGACTTTCTTTCGAGCCTTTTGTGACGCGGTTTTTAACCCTTCGTTGGGCCACGGCCGACACTTTTTCGCATCTCCCACTAACGCTACACGTGCTTTGCACAGCATCGCTGACCTGTTGGTACGTTTTACGCGGTCTCTCTCTCTTTGTTCGGTTGTTTGGAAAAATAGCGCTGCTCTGTCTGACGCCTTCCGCTGGTCTTGTTTCGATGTGGTGCTTCGACTTTTCGCGTTTCTTGCACCCGGTGTGCGTCTTGTACTGTGCGAACTGGTCGCTGTCCTCGCCGTGGGACTTGCGACGCGATGCCGCTCGTCCGTTTGGCACCGACCGGAGGAGAGCCAGTGTCCGTTGTAAACGACGGCGCCACTGACTACCGGCGTTTCGTTAGACGGTAGAAAAATAGTGCCGCGACCTCCTTAGCAGGCGAGTGTGCTTCGGTCACTGCCCTCTCGAGTAGCGCGGCCTTGTTCTCGTGATTTATTTGCCCAGAAAGACTGTTCTCTAGATCGCCCGTACTTATTGGCGCGTTGGGGATTCGTTGGAAACCTTTCGTCGTGTTTGAAGTTGGGTTGACGCTGTCGGCCCTTGCCTTCGCGTTCCTTCAGACCTGACGCATCGTAGCTGACATAAAGAAATCAATACCGAACACGCATTGAGACAACACAGCAGCTAGGCGTGTTCCCATTACATCCGAAGGTGTTCATGAGCATGGGGTGATAGCCTTTGTGTATGCTGAAGAACGCGGATCTGTTGACCTCATCGTCTCCGACCAGTGAGTCACGGGAAGATGCAGGGTGTACAGTTTGACGTAATTTCCTAAAAAAAAGAAAAATAGAAGGGGGGGGTTCTGATGAAGGAATTCAGTGGGCTCCTTGTCGAACCCGTTAGAAAGCCTGCCATGAGCATTTCAGTTTTCGAGTCAAAGTTTCACCTCTGGTCAGAAATCGAAACGGTCGCCACAGTCTCGGCATGTCAACTTCTCCCAAGTTCTTCCTTGTGCATCTCTTTGGTACACTAAATATTTACATATCTCTGTACTGCATCTTGCATTGTTCACAACAGCAGCACACAAATGCAACCATATTGGTTGCTTGCACTCTGAAATTTCTATCGATTACCATGTAGACCAGTGTCCGTATTTGGTCGTGTCTCGCTGCAATACACCATATAAAAACAAGCCACAAAAGGCTCAACTATGAAACTTGTTGACGGGGTGCTCACACTCTTTCGGACGACGTCTGCCAGACCTTTGTGCGTTGCTATTACCTTAACTATGTCCTTCTCATTTAGGCTTTGCGTTAGATAAGGTTTGTGCTCTCTAGCTCCTCTCCTCATGTTATATGTGTCAGAGCTGGCATTATCGGGTGAATTCAGTGTTGCCGTGTTGTCTCTAACTATAGTATCGCTATATTTTTTGCACAATGCCTGCCGGCTGTTGTAACTACAGTTTTGCTTCGGAATGTTGTTGTGCATTCATCCTCAGAGTTGAAGTCTCTTTATAACGATGTCACTAGCATGACATCAGAGGAAGAGGCAACTATGGGAAGCTTTATAACACTTTCTGCTTAGCTTGAAGACATGGGTTTCATTCCTATTCATGGTGCTTGCATTTCTTAGTGCGTGAACACACTTATGTTGAGATTTAGGAGCATGTTAAAGGGGGCACCAAAGAGCAGAAACGATTTTTCACGTATTAATAAGTAAACTTTTCACAACCCCGAAAACGACAACCTAAACTTCAACACGATTCTTGGCAAGCCAGAATATATGCGAAAAGAAAATGCAGGTGCTAATGTCATAAATTTTAAAGGTGCCTACTGGGCCCCACTTAGCTTCTAATTGATCGAAATGAAGTTCGTTGTCATATCTGGGTGCCTTTATAGCACACAAAGTTTTGGAAAACTTTTTCGAACCAGTGGTATGAAAATATCAGAAAGTATGTTGCGAAGTTTCTCGTGTTGCGCACAGAGATTTCAATGCGAAATTTTAAAAAATGAAAACGAAATTTCTACCTTGATCTTCTTCACTAGTGATGAACTTATGATCGTGAAAAATGTATGGCATTGGAGTTCAGAGAGTACAGTTTTTCAATCTAAACAAAGTCATTGTTTCTCTTCTTAAGTGTCCCTTTAAGGAGGCCCAAGTAGTATCGGTGTTGTTGAACCTGGGTCTCTATGTCATGCCATGCTGTGCCTCATAAATCATAGTTTTCATGCGTAAAACCCCAGCAGTTATGAGCATTTACAATTCGACGGGAACCTCCGTCCTGTGTGCTTCTCCTCTTGTGCTTGTGTCATAACCTACTGTTGCACCCCTTCACATTATCATTATGTACAAACTGGCCCACAAAACTGCCCTGTTAATTGATTACTTATAATACTTAAACAGTGCTATTGTTTCCTGGTTTCATTACCTTTTGATTTTAATTTTTCTGTTAATCATATTGTTATTTTGGGGTGTTAAACACTAGTAATATTATGGTTGATTTCTATCTAAACAGGCTAATTAAAGTTCATGTCTTGCAAAAGAATCTTAGTGTAGTTCTGTGTGTCTGCTTTTTGTTCAGATTCCAGCTTAGCCATTAAACTCGCTGTCATCATAACGGTCTGAAAATTAATATGCATAAAACTAAAGTAATGCGCAACAGTCTCGGCAGAAAACAGCGCTTTGCTATAGGGAGAGAGACGCTAGAAGTTGTAAAAGAATGTCTACTTAGGCCATGGAGTAACCGCAGAGCCGAACCATGAGAGTATATTATAAAAAGCAAGCTTCATATGTGCATAGTACCACGCCAGTGATGTGCCTCTGAACCAACATCCTGCCTTTGTTTTGGCAATGTGACCTACATCTCCTGGGAATGTGTGTGCACTCCATTGGCAGTGTAGTATCTGAAAAAAAAAAAATAACAATTGTGAAAACTATGCTGCAAATACAAAAAATGACACAAAAGTAATGTCCACCTACAACTTCAATAGCCCCACCTCTGTGATTATTGCATCACAGTTTATAAAAAACTTGTCACAGGTTGTCACTGGCTTAGCACAGCACAATCTCTTGGTGTAGTAACTTTAGCAAGTACAATCAACACGGGGAGCAACTTTGCATCATAAATACAGTACTATGTTACCTTGAAAGTGGCTTGAGGAAAAAAACAAGGCTTTTCTAGGACAGCACACAAGAAGCAATGAAGCAACATCACTTAGCAAGCAACTCACTGCTCCAAACAGGACTACAAAATTTTCCCAGCAAAGTCTTTGCTCCGCTTTCGTAAGTGCTAAGTAATCATTAAGAAACAGTTAACAGCTAATTAGTACGAAATAGACATGACTAGCCAATCCAAGTAACTAAGTAGTATTAAAAAAATTTGGACACACGGACGTATCAATAGAGGATTTTAAGCACAAAAATTTTTTTAATGAAACCAGTCTTTATGTGTTGCTCTAATAATTAACCTATGACTCATTTTTGGAGCGAGAGTCAAGAAAAGAGCAGAGTGGGTTGAGGAAACAAAGCAGGATAAAGAATATTACAGTTGAAATCTAGAAGAAGAAATGGCCTGGGCATGTAGGCAGGATAACCGCTAGTCAGCTGGTCATTAAGGGTAACTGACTGGGTTCCCAGAGAAGGCAAACGCATGAGGGGGAGACAGAAAGTAGGGTAGGCCGATGAGATTAAAAAGTTCACAGGTATGATGTGGCAGCAGAAAGCACAAGACTGGGTTGATTGCCGGATCATGGGAGAGGCCTCTGCCCTGCAGTAGGCATAGTCAGAATAATGATGATATGGTATCTGTCATCGAACAATTTGTGGCTTTCAGTGAACTATAGCTATAGAGGGTTTATTGTGTCTGTACATGAATGAAAAACCAACTGCAAAAGACTTATTTCAATACAAAATGAGCCCTAGAAGTTGCGGCTATAAACTCAACCGGCTCCCATATTGCTGTTTCGTTTGACATCGTGCTGCACGAATCGGAGCCGTTTTCTTCTACTAAACTTTGAGCCCTCTAAATAAGGTTTTACTGCCAAGCTGAAGAAAGATGAAATAGCATGATTGCATGTATAGTGGACTACGTAACAAAATCATTCGTTGTAATGCAGACGCTCGCAAAGCAAAGAGTTTGTTACATCACTACTGGGGTTACGCAGCGTTTTTCGAAGGGTTGCAAGTGGCGTAATTCACTTGGGGCGCTAGCGGAATCAGCTGCCATCTCCGTGGTCTGTGGTGGCGTAGATATTCTCTGTTGGGGCGCTTTGTCGGTTCTGTCGAAACAGCGAGCAGTGACAAGAGGCTGTGTGCGTCACAGCGCATGATGCTGCAGTGTGTACAGGTAGAATGCGGTTAGGTGCCTGTGTGGAGACCACCAAGATAGATGCGCTGCCGTTCCTACGCTGGTGCCATCTTGCGGGCCCTGTCCCTGTGCCTTATGAAAATCTCAATTATCAATTAAGTGCTTCACAAAACTCAATAGAAATTTCGCCAAATTGTTTTGAGTGCACAAGAATGAACCTAGCTAACACAGATTATGATTGAAAATTGTTTGTCCCGGACATTTACAGGAAAATTAGCACTTAGTTTTGTTTCTTTTATTTTGTGTCTGCGTGTTGTGCTTGGGCATGTTTATAACATGCAGCAACTGTCGCAACACTGTCCTGCGAGGTCGAGTATTGTCGTGCTATACTTGCGGAACAAGTTTTCTTATCTAAGAATGGGAAACCATTGGGGCGCAGCTACTGCACATTTGCTCCTCCAAGAAGTAGTCAGGTTTGGCTTTTTCTAATGACGGCTGTGTTTGAATGATTGGAAAACATTTGTGAGTAAAAGTCATTAGAAGCTCCTTCAGCGAGACGTGTAAATTTGCTGGACGCCTGTCTTTATTTTGTCTGCGAGAATGTTTTCATAGTGCAAAAACACGAAATGACACTGCATGAAGTAAAGCAAATATGAATATCTCCTTGATGCTTGGTGAGTCTCTTTATAAACTTCATCTCGTAGAAAATAAAGTAATGTTGGTTTTTATAATTTTCACTGTCAAAACACAACACAATTGTGGGACTATATTCTCCAGTGGTGGCACAACTCACTTTGGCTCCATAGCCTTCAGAGCAAAGAAGTTTTCCGCGACTATTGATCACAAAGTGAAGGCTGAGAATGTGAATTTGCACAGGGGGGGCTAGAACTTTATATAGGTGACAACCCTTTTGACTGTAAATTGCGACTGATAGGATTGGTTTTCCAAACTGATGCAGAAAGACGGCCTGGGTGTGTTCTTAGTGTTGCGGTGCTTCTGACTGAAATTGTGAATTGTCAGTGAAAGGGTAAAAGGAACAATTGTCCAATGAAGCATGAAACCAGTTATTATGCATGCATGTAAAAAAAGTTCATTGTAATGAAATTGCTTGTGCATTAAAATTCTGCCACAACAAAATTGATGAGAAGTGTCAAAACGGTTCATTGTAACAAAATTTCATGCATAGACCTCGGCTTCTGGTGTCGGCAAGCACATTTTGATCCTTTGCATTGAACTCTTGCTAACCCAGACTTATTGAGTGCCCTAAATGCACAAGTTGGCAAAATCGCTCATGAATCGACTCACTCGGACTTGCTCAGGCTCGGATCAAGCCGCGAGTCTAATGTTTAATTCTAGTGGCCAAGTCGGAGCAGCCTATGGACTGTGCGAACGAGCTCTCGACCCTGGCGTAGAGCAACGTGTCCACATCCACGATGGGAACACCATCTGCATTGTTTGAGCAAGGTAGAAGCGGAAGTCCTTGAGTTGCCCAAAATACCTTGCGTGTAGTGTTCCATTCCGCTGATTCCACTGTCAAATTATGTTGAATTTCATGAGTGACAGCGGCAGCACCCCCAATGCCCAGTCTGAGTGAGCTCCACATTCTATGCTGAAATAGTTGAGAGTAATACATACTTGTACAATGTGAGTTGTTGTGTGCGAGCACATGGTTGAACTGCGAACTTGACACAGGGACAAAAGAATTGAAGCATGAAGAAGACATATCCGCAGCGATACTAGCAACGTTTTATTTTTGCAGACCCTACCATTCTATATACATCACGGACAACTGTGAACAAGAATCATATGGTGCCGGCCGCCGTTTTTCGTGCAGGTCTGGTCCCAAGGGGAGTTGAAAAAGTGCGCAGGCCGAAATTGGAGTTATCTCCTGAATGCTTTACGGTGGTGGACCCTCGTGACAGTGTCCAAGTGCGTCCCCAAGCAAAGGTGAAATGCCCAAACGAGCGCCTCCCAGCATCGCCGAGCCACCCAAGAAGAAAGGTAAGTGTTCGTTTCGTTGCAACTGGCGGGGTGCCAAAACTAAGTCCAAAAAACGGAAATTAAGGACTTTCAGAAAATCGAATTGACCTAGCTCAATGCTTCGAATTTACCATAAAATTTTGCCTATTCACTGCTTTCTTTTTATATTTATTAAAGGGCAATCACCGCAAAAATTTTCAGTTGTTGTTTTTCATCAAACAAAAGGCCCAAGCCCTGAAGAACCCAAAAAATGTACTGGTAAGCTAGGGTACAACTAGGGAAAGTAATATACATTTTTATAGCTATTTCCCGTTTCAACTGTACCCCGATATGGCAAGATGGTATGAGCTTCTCTTCCAGTGCTTGCTCAGCATATTGTGTACTCGGCTGCTCACCCGCAGGTCGCGGGTTCGAATCCCGGCTGTTGCGGCTGCATTTCCGATGGAGGCGGAAATGTTGTAGGCCCGTGTGCTCAGATTTGGGTGCACGTTAAAGAACCCCAGGTGGTCGAAATTTCCGGAGCCCTCCACTACGGCGTCTCCCATAATCATATGGTGGTTTTGAGACGTTAAACCCCACATATCAATCATTGCTCAGCATACTGTGATATTTTTATGGCCCCTTGTGCTGCGCATCCTACCCAGGCCTGGCATTTCCTTATTATTCTTCTTTGTGCTTTTTTCTATAATAATGAAGGCACAAAAAATGTTTCGGCTCCCACATTTTGTTTTTCTTTTATTACAGTTTCCAACCAGATGACTCTTCGCTATAGCCCTTTAATACATTCAAATTATAGTAATAATGATTTGGGAAAGACCTCTTTTTCATTAATGTCTGAACTCGGCTGCTGGCGAATTCAAAAGTGTTTAGTTGTGATAACACATAATAATGTAGCAGGGTTTGACTTTACTCTTTGATAAAAGTTTAGATGTCTTTTGTTAGACCTCCGTAACCTAGGCTGGCTAATCGTAGCAAAGTTTTGCACCATCTTGCAAAGTGGCGGAAGTGTTGTAAATGGGTTTTAACAGACAGCAATCTGCTTGTAGCACAAAGCCACATTGAAATCCACACAACTTATCCTGATGTCGGAGTAAAGGCTGTAGAGACGGGATGCACACACTTGTGTTGTTTCGCAAGTAGTACGTCAGCTTGCGGCTGATTTAGGTTTTGCTCGCTCGCATCGTTTAAATCGTTCAGAACACTATGTGCATGAAAATATAAACGGGGAAAACTTTTCATTGTTCAGTGTACACTTTAGTGTCGAATTACAAGTATATTTTCTTGGAGAACTGAACGGCACGTTCGCAGCTCCACATTTGCCCACCACGTCATGGACACCATGTAGAAAACTGGCATAAAAAGTGGTGCTAAAAAATGGAAAGGAAGTCATGCTGGCACAGTGTTACGTTGGCGGCAGAGACACCGCCAGAGACATGAACTAGTCGGTGCTACCAGGCAGAAGACAGCGTTTATTGACCGCGTAAAGCTTATATCATGAAAGAGGGGAAGGGTGCAGAAAGTGAGCAAAGAGAGAAAGACGCATGCACATGCTGTTCTGCAACCACTTCGGCGACTGCTAACGTTGCAGCACTTCTTGCACCTTGGTAACATTAACATTCCTTCGGTTTTTTTCTTGTGGACTGTTGTATTGGTTGTGCTACTGCAGACGAGTTCTTGGCGTCTTCCGTCATTGCTTAGTTATCAGGTAGCGCCGATTCCCGGGTGTCCTTGCTCTCCATAAACCATTCTTTATCGCACTTTCGTACTTTTGGTCGAACTTCGTACTTATTGGTCCATATTGCGACGGACAATCCCTGCCTCAGTCTCCACTTCCAAAATTCGAGCACCAGTCGTGGCCCTGACCCTCCCCGGCATCTGTTCCGTAATTTCGCACATAGACGAATTGTCCTGGTGCGAAATTCCAGTCAGTGTCTTCCGTCGGCTTGGCCGAGACGCTACGATGATTCCTTGGTGGAAAAGATAAGTCCATCCTTGCATGCAACCGGTAGCCCAAAAAGTCTTTCCGAAGGTGAAAGGCCGGATTGTTGAGGGGTACTTCTATAGTTGCAAAGCACTCGGGCCAGGGCGGGCGTCAACTCGGTGTTTCCAATCTTCTTTAATGCGTCTTTCACAGTCCGCACAGCACGCTCAGCCAGCCCATTGCTCCGTAGATGATGCGGAGATGTTGTAATGTAAACAATGCCATTGCGCTCCACGAATTGACGAAATTTGAAACCCGTGAAAGGTGTTCCATTATTTGACACCACCGTATGTGGTATCCCAAACTGGGCAAACATTGTTCTCAGGGCCTCGATGGTACTGCGGGAATTGGCATGTGCTACTGACACAGTTTTCGCCCTTCTCTGGCCAGTTTACAGGAGTTTGCGCATGTGGCATAGGCAGTGCTTGAACGTAGTTGTTATAGTTGGCGGTTACGCGTTGTCTTGGTCTGACCCAGGCCACCAAAATATCGATCTTGCTCTAGTCTTCTTTGAAGACTCTCTCTGATGGGAGTCATGCAGTAGCGTGAGAAACTTCTTGCGGGCGGCCCTAGGTATCACCACGCGATGACCCCAGTACAGCAGGTCGTTTTCAACCGACAGCTCATACCGGTTCTTATAATATCCTGAGAGTTCATCTTTCACACTCCGTGGCCAACCACTGTGGGTGTATTTGCATACTTGAGAAATGACGTCGTCTGTCACCGTTAGTGCTTGCAATTCTTTGGCGTGATGTCCTCTAGTTCCGATGCATTCTGTCACATTATAAGTTATACGGCTTAGTGTGCCTGCGTTCTGCAAAAGTCTCCCAGGCTTAAGCTGCAAACGGTACCTATAGGCTGCTGCAATGGTAGGGGTTGGCTTGTCCGCTCTCAAGAGACCCTGCAAAGGTTGATGATCGGTCAATAAACTCTCTTTCAAGTAGATAGTCACGAAACCATGTGACGCCATAGACCAAAACCAGTGCCTCTCGCTTAATCTGGGAATAATTCTTCTCGGCCGAGGTCAGTGTTTGTGACCGAAGCCCGATCGGTCTATACTGCCCATCCACTCGATGAAAAAGAGCAGCTCCTACACCATACGGTGAAGCATCACATTCTAAGAACAGCTGTTATGACGGGTCAAAATGAGTCGGTACTGGAGCGGCACACAATGCTTCCTTAGCTTTTTCAAAAGCATCCTTTCTGTGGTCCCCCATGACCATCGGGTTGTTTTTTCCAAACGTCTGTACAGTGGTCCCAGTAGAGTCGACAGGTTCGGTAAGAGCTTGTTATAGGAGGTCAGCATACCCAAAAATGATCGCAGCTCTTTAACATTCCGAGGGACGGGAGCATGTCTGACGGCCCCCGCGTTCTTTTCTGTTAGGTGCAACCCTGCGGCGTCGATTTGGTGACCTAGATAAACCGCCGCGGCCTCACTTATCCGGCACTTGTTGGCGCGAAGTTTAATGCCGTGTTCTCTGAATCGTTCCAAAACCTGTCGAAGCTTTACGTAGGGCTTGTGTGCAGTCTCAGCAATCAAAACATCGTCCGAGTACGCTTGCACCCCGGGTATTCCTTGTAGTATGGACTATATTGTTCTTTGGAATATTGCCGGTGCTGCAGCAATTCCGAAGGACAACCGGTTGTAGCAAAACAACCCTTTATGTGTGTTTGACAGCCAGCTTTTGCGAGTCCTCGTTCAATGCAATCTGGTTGTGTCTCGTAGATCCAAGATACTGAATTTTTCTCCACCTCGCAGATTCGCGAAGATGTCATCAATGACTGGCAAAGGGTATTGCTCCATTTCACACACAGGATTTAATGTTATCTTAAAATCTCCACAAATGTGCACAGCGCTGTTGCTCTTCAATACTGATACTATTGGTGCTGCCCATTCTGCAAATGGTACTGCAGATATTATACTAGATTCTTCTAGTCATCTAGCTCAGCAGATACCTTATCTATCAGCGCGAAAGGAACCTTTGTAGCCTTGCGAAATTTTGGGACTGCCGTGTCGATGTAAAGCTTAGCTGGTGGGCCCTTGACTAACCCAAGACCTACCGTAAATACGTCTGCATATTCGGCCATTATGGCACGAGTTCCTGCTGCCTTCTGCTGCAAGATTCTCCTATAAGTCTCGTCCACACAGGCTGGGACTTTCACAATCTAACACGGTAAGGTTACAATCGACCTCCGCCGACATATAATTTGCCTTCATTGCCAATGTGTCTAACACAGGTAGTTTGCCCAGGTAACAAGAAAGTTTTAAATGGGTATTCTGCAGCTGGGGCCAACGGTTGCGATGTGCCTCATACGTTCCTTTAGGGACTATGCAGACAGGAGAACCTGTGTCCATGTCCATCCTTATGGTGACACCATTCCATATGATAAACTTTTCTTATGGGCGGAACCAGGGGCTCAGTACCAGTGACGGAGCAGATTTGCAGTGCGCTAGAATCACTGTCACCACTTTGGTCTGTACTTCGTGCAGTTAGAGCTAGCATTTTTCTGGTGCCGCCTGTCTTTGTACACATGTGAGCCAGGTGCCCTTGCCTACTATAACTGTAGCATTGACAAAAAGCATGTAGCAGCTTTGTGACCGTACTTGCCGCAGCATTTTGAATTGCCATAGTGCGTTTCTTTGCTTCATCATTATGGTATCGGACGCGCGACGTTTTTTAACGTTCTGAACCGTTGAAATATCAGTGTGCTTATCTATCTGCTGTTAACAGTCTTCTGCGCTTTCCGCAGCGATAGAAAGGGTTTCTGCTTCTAAAAGAGTCAAGTCGCTTTTCGCTAGCAGCTGTTTTTGCGAACTTTTTGAGCGGACATCACATACGATTCTGTCTCTCAGCATTCGGTCTAACATGAACGAAAAATTACAGTTCTGGGCAACCTTTCTACACTCAAACCTCGTTATAACGTAACGGGATATAACAAAATAATAGATTTAACGAAGTAAATAAAATTCTCCTTGAAAACTTCATTGAGAACCATGCATTTTAAACCTCATAATGAAGTAAAATTGACCGGTAATTGGATATGACGAACTAAATTAGTCTATGAAATAGTCTTATATAAAAAAAAAACGACCGTAGTGTGTTAAGTAAATCGTTTTTGCGGAGTTTGACGCTCTTTCGGCGCGGCTCTTTCAAACTCCCACGCGGCCGACCTTACAGCCATGCCACGCGCGGCCGAGAAAGCCGTCCTCCCCACACAGCCAGCGGAGAGGATTCAGGTAGTGCTCAGCGGGTCACATGACCGAGAAGCGGCGCTGCGGTGCAAAACGATTTCCCTCTCAAGGCGGCAACAACTGCGTGTCCGCTGCTACCATGGCTGCTATCCTCTGCGCCGAGGAAGGAGGACTCTCCGCGACAGCTTTCTTTTTTTGTTCTCTTCGCGCGCGGCCTTGAAAGGAGACGGATCTTTACTTGCAGAGACGTAGAAGGGAGAAGCGTGGAACAGGCGCGTCGCAGATCGGCATTTGAGAGAGAGCAAACAATCCGCCACAGTCCTTTCTTTCCTTTTCTTTTTTCCTTCGCGCGCAACGTTGAGAGCTACCGCTGCGGGTTTGGGCATGGTGCTGAGAGCATTTTCGGAGCGCGGAATGTTCGAATTAACCGTCGCAAGTGCTTGTGCGTTCAAATTACAGGGCGTTTTCGCCCATTTGGAATGCACATAGCTTTGACGGGACCTCGGTGTGAGTTCGAATTATCCAAAGGTCGAATTAATGAGGTTCAACTGAGTTCGTGGTCGCGTAGCGGTACATCGGGCCGTGAGGCGGTTTCCTTCTTTGAATGCTTATAGGTGTGCGCCCATCTGAGCATACATTTCCACAAACTGTTATAATCGATATAACAAAATAATGGATGGCTTTTGTGAAAAAACTTGATGCTCTCAGAGATTTCGTTAGGCGTTGTGGCATAAAAGTCATTCAGCATTGCTACCACTTCCCTGTAGCTAAGAGCGCTTGGCAGATGTGGCGCCACTCCTCTGCATAGGACTTCTATCGTCTTTGACCCCAACACAGGGGCGAACAGTGCCCTTTTCTTAGCTTCGTTGGTAACCTCATTGGCTTCAACATACGCTTCAACTTTTACAAGATAAGCATTCCATTTATCTGTTTTCTGGTCGAAGTCCGGGAGCCTATGTGCCACAGTCGTCACTGAGTTCCGCGCTGAGTCAAACGTTGCAGAGCTCCTGTCATATAGTCAGCGTTGAAGGGATAACAACACCGGGCTAGCATCGGCATAAGCCTTTTGAGTGGGTCGCTTAAACTCGTCACCACTGTTACGTTGGTGGCAGAGACGTTGCCGGAGACATGAACTATTCAGTGTCACCAGGCAGAAGACAACGTTTATTGTCCGCTTGAAGCTTATATCATGAAAGGGGGAAGCGGGCAGTGAGGGAACAAAGGGAGAGAGAAGATGCATGCATATCTTCTGCGTCCACTTCGGCAACCGCTGGCGTTGCAACATTATGTGCTTGAAAATGTGAATGGGGAAAACTTTTCATAGTTCAGTGTACATTTTAATGTCTAATTTCAAGTATATTTTCTTGGAGAACTGAACAACACATTTGCAGCAACACATTTGCCCACCACGTCATGGACGCCATGTAGAAAACTGGCATAAAAAGTGGTGCTAAGAAATGGAAAGAAAAGGAAGTCTTGCTTGCACTGCGAATAAAAACAGTTTGCCTATGACTTTCCGCAAATGTCCGAGTCTCATAATAAATAAAGCAGCATTTATTTCCACAGCAGAAAATGGGAAATTATCTATAAGCTTAAGTACTGTTTCTTTACTTGGTATCAGGCATTCGCTTTGTTTCTGTAGCTTGCACTGTGCTGTCAAGAAAAGTTGGAGCCGAGTACGCAACAAATTGACTGTGGTTGGAAAACAAACCTGGGACTGCCGCTTTTTTGGGGCAGTCTCTGTACTAATTGAGCTAGGCATGGTGCTATGTGCTAGCATCGTGTTTAGCTGAGTTGGTAGAGTTGTCATGGTTATAATGATGCGCATGATCTCTTCTCTAGCCGATCACATACACTCACGCACTTGGTGTCGCTGTTCGAGGATTTGTGTTTGTGGCTGGATTTTAACAGGAAAGTGTTTTATGCTGGGATCCACCATGGCTTTGCTGACGTACTTTCTTCACGAAAGTGACGTAGAAAAATACATACTAAGAAATTTCAGAGAAAACAAACCAGAGGCGAGCATTTGTCACGCGAAATTGAATCAGCAACCTCTCGATTCCCAGAGCGCACTCCGTGCGCCGTCGGGAATGATAACGGCAAGCTGTTTATACACACCATAAGCTGTTTCGCAGTCCTCAGAGCTTCGAATCTTTAGCATCTTTTCGTTATCAGTGCCGAGCTGGCACGATCTAAAAATCGTCACCTCTGGGAAGCGCAGAATCCACGGTGCGTGGTCTCCCCTAAGCGCACACTTACTCCTAATTCGGGAGGGGACGGCGGTCGATTTGCACGCTGCCACGGCCGCGTTAATGGAAGGAGCATACTGCTCACACATGACTCAGGAAGAATTGTGGCAGATGTTAGCGCTCGTTTTTTGTTTGCGTCTTTGTTTGCACAGTGCACTTTAAGTGTCGAGCTGTGACACTTGCTAGTCTGCGCTTAAGATGCCCGCTGCATGTTTCGAGTTGCTTGCCTTTCGTAATGCGACTTTACAATTTGTTGTTGTTGCTGAAGCAATGAACAATAAATGCTCATTTACCTTTGTAAAGACACGTTTCACTTTCATGTTATATTCCTATATAGGAGGATCAGCCACGTTTTTCTTTTTTTTTTTTTCCAACTAGAAGGTGTCCTTTCTGAGAAGCTCGCATAGATTTCTTTGAAAGGAATTGCCTAGACTTTTTATTGACTTCAGGTTACAGATTGATGGTTGCCAATTGACCCTTTCATGTTGGCAAATATGTGATTAGGATGCCTCATTCAAGCCGTTTTAAGCCTGGGTTGCGCTATCACTCAAGAACTGACATTTTCTGTTTGTCTTTGCGTGCAGCCGTTAAGAAGGCACCGAGGGTAGCTGCCAATGGACACCGTTTGCCAGATCCCCTGCCTGCTGGTGAGGTCCTCACGGACCTTTTCAAGAAGCAGTGGCGCCTCGGCAAAGCGGTGGGCTTGGGCGGATTTGGGGAGATCTACCTAGGTGAGTTAGAGTGTTTACGTAACCTTTATATCGTGTGAGTAGTCACCGTCGTGCCACCAATACTGACTGAGTGTGTGTGTGTGTGCGTGTGATTGCGCAAAAGCGGGGGCTATAGATAATCTCGGCTGGGTTTCGTGCTTCAAACCAATTGTCACAAAAGGGTAAGTGTTTCCTCTAGAGATACTTTTATGAACTTCATGCGCTTCACGAGTGCTACCTCGCCTTTCGGAGTACGTATGGAGTTTGACCGGACCATTTCGCCCAAAGCAGTCGCAGTTTGGTGAGTATGCAAGTGAGCGCTGGAAATCTGCGAGATGTACTTTGGTTCTAACAGAGACAACTTTCTGGGTGTGCCTGCTGTTCGCTCATTGCTGGGAAGTCTTTTTCCTGTCTTTTCTTTGGCTGGGATTGCCGTTTTTGTAGGTATGCTCACCACGTGAAACTTGGCAGCTTTTGTGGATTTTATGGGAGAGGTTTTCGTGCATGAAGAGTGTGTTTACGTTTTCTGAAGATATCCATCCGCCTTGCGGGGAACCACAACGCCACGAAAACACACACACCCTAGTTCCTTGGAAGTTCTGGCCAAGTCACTGGTTTCTGTTTGCTGTAGGACCTGCTCTTTGAAGCCCTTCAGCGAGAATTCTGTGGGAGAACTCTGAATTCAGGTTGGCCGGTGCATTGGCAACTGCAGATCGCACGAGTGAATAAGAAAATGCGCATGTCTGTGTGTTTGTATGCACCTCGCATTTTCTGCCTTTCTGCCAACTGTCTGGCTATTAGCAAATTTTCGTAAACTTTTGGTGCATGTGTTGAATGAACAAAGGTGTGAACGGAGTTCAATGGCCGCAACTGCAAAGAAATATTGATGTGTTTCATTGTTGCATGTGGATTGGTCATTTGCTGCAAACACAGGCTTTTATTTCAATTGCACGGTTTTCAAGGGCTAAAAGAAAAGTTATTTGTATTTTTAACTTTTTATGGTTTGGCCATGGTATCTTTCTAGACTTTTTTTATCGGCAGTAAGGTGGTTTATTCTCAGAAATACATTGCAAGATTGCATGGAAACGTTAGGGCCACAGAAAATATGAGGGGCTTAATTGAAGATTTTGCAAACTTCCCACAAGTGGTTGCTCTAATCCGGAAACATTGCTCATAGGTCTCTGTTTGCTTCAGCTCGCGTACCACGCGTCTTGCAAAATTTGTGTGCTTCGAGCAAGCTTGTGTGCGTTTTTTGCCTCATTCTCCTTTTCTGGTTTTCATATCCGGGAAACTGCTGTGAGTTTTAATGTTTAAATATTGCGTTTGTACTATCTCTATTGTAATTGGCACGAGTGCTGCATTGCACAGGTTCTTGAGAAAGTAAAGTTGTCTGTGTTCGTCATTTTTTTTTTTCTGTTTGGCCACTGTATCGTCTCGGGAAGATGTTTCTTTCATCAGAAGTCTGCGGGGTTCATCCAAAAAATACATTGCAAAATCGCATGGCTGGTGGTTTTGTAACGTGCAAGTTGTGTCTTTAAATTTTGCTGGTTGCAGTTGATTGGTTTCTTTGCTTTTGGAAGCAGATGATATACTCGAAACAGAAGCTCATACCATGTGTAATAGATATTTGGAATGCAATTGTGCTTGGTCCTTGGACGCTGTATCGATCCGACGATGTCTTAATTGCACAAGCAGCTTCATGTGTTGAGCTCCTCTGTATCGCTTGAATGCCGTTCTTGATTAGTTGAATAAAGGACTTTATTTTTGCCCACTCTTGTAGTGTGTGTCTTTCTTTGCTGTGGTTCTGCAACAACCCAGCACAAGTCCAGGCGATTACTGCTTATCCCTCTCCCCCCCTCCCCTGGCTGTTTTCCAGCTGTTAGTTCTACTGTGATGTTCTGCATGGGCCTTAAATGTTTTAGTATGAATGCTTTGAAAAAAATGAAAAAAAAGTCGTCTATTATTCGGTAATCTTTTTCACAAGATCTCTTTACAGTAGACACCCTTTAAAACAAGCTTCAAAAGACCATGCAAAATAGTGACATTGTTTGAAAGTCTGTTCTTGTTGAGTTATTCACAACCACTGGTGCTTGGACAACAGCGACTTGTGGCGACATGCAACAAAATAAATCGTCACAATGCAGGTCGTCTGCACGCTGCTCTTGCGTATGCACGTAAAGGCTTGTGAGTATGATGTCTATATGTCTTTTGTGGCTATTAGTGGAAAATTGATTAAAAAGTTTGATATTGATTAATAGGGTTTGTCTTAACGGGTGTCTACATCACCTGCGTACTTACCCAATCTGACCACCGTTATTCTTTTTTCTCCCCCCTCTTTTGTGATCAGCGTCTGACGAAGTCTCCAAACCTGTGGATGCCAGTGCAGCGTACGTCATAAAAATTGTGAGTGGTGATCTGGCCTGGCAGCTTTGAATTTTGTGTTGAGGCGTTTTTGTTTGCTCATCTCCGTTACCTGTGTTCCTAGGAACCTCATAGCAATGGCCCACTGTTCACTGAAATCAACTTCTACCTCCGCGTGGGAAAAGCTGAACAGAGTGAGTTTCTTTTGTTACAGTGGCATCTTGTCTTTGTGCATCGTTTGAAAGTGGTTCAGAAACGAAAAATTATAGGTCTTATTTCTTTCTCTAGCCAACCACTTATCACTTTTCAATGACTTATGCTTATGGTGGTTCGTAAACCCGCTTTCTCGGGCGTATGACAGTGTGAAAATGTTCTCAGAACAGTTAGTTTTGATATTTGGTTCCAAGGACAGTGTGAAGATGTGTTTTTTAAGTCACCATTGGTATGTGACTACAGTAGAACTTTGATTGTACCCCCCCCTGTTTCATGACAACCCGCATTTTGCAATGAATCGGCTTGGTCCTGGCGAAATTCCCATAGAAATAATGTGTTAAAAAACTGTGGTTATACGCCACAGTTGTGCGCCAGCCCCGCAACTTACGACTTTCTCAATCGATTTTAAAAAAAGTTCACTCGAATCAAACCTTAACTAAATATTCACGAATGCAAAATGTGAACTGGCATTCTCCTAGGTTTACTATTCAAAAGTTGAGCGAGACAGGATGTCTTTTTAAATTGGAAAACTTATGCTCCTGGTGGTTCCTGCACTTCTACATATGCTTCAACTGCGTGTACACATATCCGCGGTCATTATCCAGTGAGGATCTATCCACACAGAGTAGGTTCATCTAGCCAAAGAGCTGATATTTTCAAGTTTTCGGTTCGTGGAAACATTTCCTTGTCAAACAGCTGATCTCTGCCTTTGTTGCAGTCGCAGGCTTGCGCACACATAAGGACACGACACAGCTGTTATCATTGTGCAAAATTACTTAATTTGATGTCAACGCTCATGATAACGGCAGGACATCACTAGTGGCACTTGCAAGCTGCTTCAACGTGCACAGCTCAGTCGCACACAAAGGCATTCCATGCAAACTCGTTCATCGCCATTATGTGATAGCAATGACACTGTGTCCGACTCTTCTGATGTAAGGCTGTCGGCAACGTGAAGGCAATTTTAGGACTTTATTTAGCAGTAGAAAAACGTGCGTAGGAATGTAATATTTCTAATCAAAATAATTGCTTGCACCTCTTCCAATTAAGTAATGCTGCCATTAGCTGTTACTGGTAAGAATCAGTTAATCTACTTTTCTTGTAGAGGCACAAGGTCGTGTCATGGGCTTATTCAGGCAGTCTGTACCCGTTTTTTGGGCAAGGTTAAGTGTCACTGCCTATAACCTCAGTTTCTTATTATACTTCGCCCACATTATATGACTGTTTTGCGTGGTTCCCTGAAACACGTGTAATTGGGGCTGTCTGAGAACGTACCATATCTTTTGTTCAAATGGGTTTTGTATATCCTTTTTTGTTTTACCGCATATAGTATTAATACCTGGCTATCTAGTTTGCTGATTTGCTTTAAAACTCCAGCAGTTTACAACTAAGTCTTGCACGCTTGAAATTGAGCCATAAATATACTCAAGCTGTGATAGTTTCACAAAAAACCTTGTTTTGGTAGCAGTCTCCAATGGTTCTGTAGCAAGAAACATGAGAGGCATAAATGCACCCAATGTGGCCATTTTCACGAACTGATGAAGCAGAGCAGCTGCCAGCGTTCAGTTCCAAAGCACGGGGGTTCCTTGTCATCTGGCACAAGTCTCTAGCCCTAGCATTAGCTGATCGAGAGGCGCAGCGCGGTGGCTAGTAATATTTATTTATTTATTTCAGTACCCTAAAGGCCCAATTGGGCATTACATAAGGGGGGATTTAAGTGAATACATACATTTCAAGCAACATGAACGGAAAACAGAATACCAAAAAGTAACAATAAAAAGGAAACAGCGAGTAAATCGAATCACAGCATCAAGTCAAGTACGTTCACCAACATTAATCGAGTACATATTCATTAGTACAATAATAATGAAAACACTTAAGAAAATTACATCAAAGAACACTGAATAAGTATCGGGAGCAAAAACAGCAGACGAAACGAGGGCAATCAGACACAGGTCAGCCATGTTTTTCACTATGCAAATAGCCCTGAAGCATGGAGTTAAATATGGAAGGATCTGTAATTTCGGCGATGTTAGGTGGAAGAGAATTCCACTCGATTATGCATAATGATAGTGGCAAATTTTGAAACTTCTTGGTCCTAGCAAAAATGGGGGCCACCTTGTGCGCATGATTAAGGCGGGGTGAAGTATGAGGGGCTGGAAAGATATGAGACTGGGCGAAGGATGAGTTGCTGTGATAAAGTGAGTGAAAGAACGATAGTTATATATCGATAGTTAGTATGACAATGGTTATAAATGGCAGTGATGACGCCACACCCTGTGTTGGATGTGCATACGCCAAATAAAATTGTTTAGTATAGAATTTCGTTACTCAGGTGAGAAAGAATTCGTGGGATCAAATCCCGGCTGTGGCGCCTGCATTTCCGATGGAGGCGGTAATGTTTAAGCCCGTGTGCTCAGATTTGGGTGCATGTTAAAGAACCCCAGGTGGTCGAAATTTCTGGAGCCCTCCACTACAGCGTCTCTCATAATCAAATGGTGGTTTTGGGACGTTAAACCCCACAAATCAATCATCAAATCAGGTGAGAAAGAACGAAGAAGTGAGAGCTGTTGTACATGCTTTGCACCCTCCGCCATCAACTACAAAAGAATCAGTTCTGGTATAGAATAAATTACACCAAGTTGTGCCAGATTTTTCATGCTGAAAGCTGCATTCCCTGTGAGTACTTATCAGCTGGCATTAAAAGCGACACGAATTTCGTGACTTGCTTGCTCGAAGTTTTTCAGTATGCCACGAATTCACTACGCCACGCAGTAAAGGGTTGAAATATGCAATATTTCGTGTGCTTTTTTGGGGGAACGAGATTTTCGCTAAACTCAGTTACAAAATAAATCGGCATATCACAACAGTCTAGATTCAGAACTGTGGGCAGTGAAACAAAAATAGATGTTCTAAACCCACTAGAAGAAAATTAGAGCTTTAGTAGAGGTGCAAAACCCATCGGTGCACCCGTCTTGCAGTCGATCAATGGGTCAAGCAGAGGAAGTTGGATTACCTGGGCATGCCTCGCTTCCGAGGTTCCGGGTCCCATGAGCACAATGGTGTCAAGTACCGGTTCATGGTGATGGACAGGTTTGGCGAGGACCTGCAGAAGATCCTTGACCGGCAGGGCAAGACGCTCCCCTTGAAAACTGCCTTCAGCCTCGGGATGCGCGTGGTGAGTGTCGGCCTGCTCTTGTACGGGAGTCGCGAACTCGCTTCAGCTAGCGTGCTGTAGTCGAGAAATTCAGTCCAGCCAGGGCAGGAACAACGAAGGAGTTGGGAGTTGCAGAGTTTCCTCTAAATATGCTAGAGGGAACTCGGGTGCTAGTGTCAATCATAGATTCCTATAAATACACAACGGGGAACTCTGGTGCTAGTGTCTATGGGAGCTGCAACGCATGGCGCTTCACCGAGCATAAGAATGATGGGCAGTGCACGGATTTGTCGAATTTCCGTACTTTCGGCTCCGGTTTGGCTTCGCATTGCTTAAATTTGCTTTGTCATGAAACAACATTCAGCAAATATTCAGCAGTTCCACTTCACTACCTTAATTTTTAAGGCCCACCATTTCAAATCAGCTCACGAAGTTTATAATCTTTCATTTTTTTTTTTTCATTCGAAATAAAATGGAAACACTGCAATCAACGAAGCCACAAGTGCGTTGGAGACCCACAAGCACGAAGACTTGGCAAATCCGTGTATTACCCATCATTCCAATAGTTGCCGAACGATCGCTGCGTCATAGTCTCCTCTAATTATATTATAGGAAACTTGTGATTGTGATTGGATGGTAGAAGTAACGAGGGGAAAGGGGGGGGAAGTAGTTTGCCCGAAATGTCGGCTGAGTATGCAATCTGAAAGGCAACCTACGTTAAATTTCATATTATGTAATAACTAGCCCACCTTTTGCCACTCGTATATTGGCCCTTTCTGATGGGTCTGTGGCCTCAATGATTTAAAAGCATATCAGTACCTATTTTCAGAATGTATAAAACCTTGATGCCGAATCAGAGATATGGCTCTTCTTTTGTGGATTGACTCGATAACAGAAAATGCTTGGTTATGGCTGTGTAGCTCATGAATATACTTTATTGAAAAAATGTACATACAGTCAAATCCTGTTTAACGAACTCAAAAGTGCCACAAAAAGTGGTAGTTATACCATTTGTGGAGGTAATAAACAGTTATGAGTTAGCAATCTGGGGAGTACTTGTACTGCCTCCTTAGGTTTTATTTGACCGTAGATTTCTTTCCCCGAAACAGATTGATGTGCTGGAGTACGTACACAGCTATGAATACATCCATGCCGATGTCAAGGCGTCCAACCTTCTACTAGGTTTTGGCAAGGGCAACGAAAACAAGGTGGGTAGAAGTGTCAAGCCTGTCGGTCGCGGGGTTTCGGTGCAAGCTCTCTTTTTTCTGTTGAGATATTTTATGTTAAACAGGCCCTGAAACAGTTGTGACAATTGTTTACTGAACCATTTATATAGTAGCCCAGATTCTTAGACTGAATTGAGCTATTTTCAAAAGATGCATAGATAATTGCCAGGTTTTAAAGTTTCAATGGCACAGGTTGCAGTAGTTTCACCACATCATCCTACGAAGGTCTTGGTCTAGGGGTCCAGAAAAGACGATGGGGTATGAGACTAAAGCCACTGGCTCCTTGTGTAAATTAATGAGAACTCCATTATGAATAAATAACTGCATGTACATTAATTATTAATTAACCATCTTGATGTTAAGCAGCATGCTGCCCTGTATAATAGGTCGGGTGAGCTGAGCGTCGTTTACGCTCAGCCACGCACAGATGTAGCATCCCAATACAGTGCAGGGTGTGCAGAGAACTGCGTAGGTTTTGCGTTTCTAACAAGCACATCTGCAAAATTGTGGTGAAACCAAGCGGACGCACCTTCACTCAACTGACTTTGTAAGAGTGCGACATGCGCTCTCTGTTCTGCTACTTGGGTGATCATTCTGTACACGGAGCGGATATCGTAAACGTAAAGGTGCCAAATGGGCAGTGACTCCACCAAACCCTCCTCCTGATGGTGCACTTCTAGCCGGCGCCTTCTTATTCTAAGCCCACTTACTGCTTCTAAAAGATTGATGCGAGGACAGTTTCAGATGAGAGCCTTTGAGCATCCTGATCGCGCGAGAAAACTACTGGCACAAAGCACTAACATTTTGCGCCAGGAAATATAGACAAGCGCAAAAGCAAACGTATACGATTGGACAACCAAGAAGACCAACGTGCAGGAAGGGAAAAAAAAATCGCGTTTGTCACGCTAGTCATTAAGATGTGGAACGGTGCTCTAGAAAAGAAAAGCACACCGGCCATGTCAGCCAATGGGAGACTCCGTATGGCGCACTAGAAATCATAGGTCAGCACTTTGAGAGACTACTCACTCATACTCACTCACCACAATTTTTCAGCCTTCACCCTCACTCACTCTCATACCCACGTCTACTCCCACTCATAGGCCCTCACTCACGTTCATACTCACGCCTACTCGCACTCATGAGTACTCACGAACGTTCATACTCCCTCCTTGTCACACTCAGAGTACTCACTCACGTTCATGCTCACTCCTTCTCACACTCAAAGTACTCACTCACGTTCATATTCACGCCTACTCACACTCACTCCTACTTACTCACGTTCATACTCACTCCTTCTCACACTCAAAGTACTCACTCACATTCATACTCACTCTTTGTCACACTCAGAGTACTCACTCACGTTCATACTCACTCCTACTCACACTCGTGAGTACTCACTCACGTTCAAACTCACTTCTACTCACTCTGAAAGTACTCACTCACGTTCAAACTTACGCCAACTCACACTCTAGGCCCTCACTCACGTTCATACGACTACTCACACTGATGAGTACTCACTCATTTCATACTCACGACTACTCACACTTGTGAGTACTCACTCACGTTAATACTCATGCCAGCTAGCACTCATAGGCCTTCACTCACGTTCATACTCACGACTACTCACACAGATGAGTACTCACTCATGTTCATACTCACCACTACTCACACTTGTGAGTACTCACGTTCATACTCACAACTACTCACACTGATGAGTACTCACTCACGTTCATATTCACGCCAGCTAGCACTCATAGGCCTTCACTCACGTTCATACTCACAACTACTCACACTGATGAGTACTCACTCACGTTCATACTCATGCCTACTCACACTCACTCCTACTCACTCACGTTCATACTCACGCCAGCTAGCACTCATAGGCCTTCACTCACGTTCATACTCACGACTACTCACACTGATGAGTACTCGCTCATGTTCATACTCACGACTACTCACACTTGTGAGTACTCACTCACGTTCATACTCACGCCAGCTAGCACTCATAGGCCTTCACTCACGTTCATACTCACTTCTACTCACACTGATGAGTACTCACTCACGTTCATACACACGCCTACTCGCACTCATGAGTACTCACTAACGTTCATACTCTCTCCTTGTCACACTCAGAGTACTCACTCACGTTCATACTCACTCCTTCTCACACTCAAAGTACTCACTCACGCTTATACTCACGCCTACTCACACTCACTTCTACTCACTCAAGTTCATACTCACTCCTACTCACACTCGTGAGTACTCACTCACGTTCAAACTCACTTCTACTCACTCTGAAAGTACTCACTCACGTTCAAACTCACTTCTACTCTACTCAGAGTACTCGCTCATGTTCATACTCACTCCTAACACTCATGAGTACTCACTCACGTTCAAGCTTATGCCAACTCACACTCTAGGCCCTCACTCACGTTCATACTCACTACTCACACTGATGAGTACTCACTAATTTCATACTCACGACTACTCACACTTGTGAGTACTCACTCACGTTCATACTCACGCCAGCTAGCACTCATAGGCCTTCACTCACGTTCATACTCACGACTACTCACACTGATGAGTACTCACTCCCGTTCATACTCACTCCTACTCACACTCGTGAGTACTCACTCACGTTCAAACTCACTTCTATTCACTCTGAAAGTACTCACTCACGTTCAAACTCACTTCTACTCTACTCAGAGTACTCACTCATGAGTACTCACCCACGTTCAAACTTACGCCAACTCACACTCTAGGCCCTCACTCACGTTCATACTCACGACTACTCACACTGATGAGTACTCACTCATTTCATACTCGCGACTACTCACACTTGTGAGTACTCACTCACGTTCATACTCACGCCAGCTAGCACTCATAGGCCTTCACTCATGTTCATACTCACGCCTACTCACAGTCACTCACGTTCATACTCACGCCTACTCACACTCATTGTTCATGGCTCACGTTCATACTCACGACTACTCACACTCTTAGAGAAACACGGACTGCTGGGCGAGTTGGTAATTCATTTTAACGGAGGTGCACGAAAAATTGAAGTACAAAAGGAAGACACCTCGAGACAGCGCGCCGTGTCCAGGTGTCTCCTTTTTGTACTTCAATTTTTGTGCACCTCAATTAAGACTCATAGTTACTCACTCACCTTCATACTCACGCCTGCTCAAGATTATAGGCCCTCACTCACCTCCGCACTCGCATAAGAATTCACCTTCATACTTACGCCCACCCATACTCAAGCGCACTGACTCACATACTTTTACATTCACATATTCATCATCATCACAGCAGGACAAAGGCCTCTCCCCTGTTCCGCCTGTCAACTCTGTCCTTCGCTTGCTGTTGCCACTTCATACCCGCAAACTTCCTAATCTCATCTGCCCACCAAACTTTGCCTCCCCTTTTCCCGCTTTCCTTCTTTTGGAATCTATAAAATAACCGGCAGAAAACGAAAGTAATGAACAACAACCTCGAAAGAAAACAGCGCTTCGAGATAGGTGGCAGTGCACTTGAAGTTGGAAAAGGTATATACGTCTACTTAGCACAGGTAATACCTGCGGAGCCAAGCCACGAGACTGAAGTAACTAGAAGAATAAGAGTGGGGTGGAGAAGATTCGGCAAGCATTCTCAGCTCATAACTGGTAGATTGTCACTATCCCCTCAAGACGAAGGTATATAACAGCTGCATCTTGCCGGTACTTACCTACTGAGCAGAAACCTGGAGGCTTACAAAAAGGGTTCAGCTTAAATTGAGGGCGATGGAAAGGAAAATAGTAGTTGTAACCTCAAGTGTCAAGAACAGAGCAGAGTTGATCAGGGAACAAACTGGGGTTAAGGATATCATAGTTGAAATCACGAAGAAGAAATGGACATGGGCCGGGCAGGTAGTGCGTAGGCAGGATAACAGCTGGTCATTAAGCATAACTGACTGGATGTCCAGAGAAAGCAAACGGGTTATGGGGAGACAGTAAATTAAGTGGGCAAATGAGATTATGAAGTTCTCGGGTACATAATGGCAGCGGCAAGCACAGGACCGAGTTGAGTGGCGGATCATGGGAGAGGCCTTTGTCCTTCAGTGGACATTGTCAGGCCGATGATGAATATTAACATTGAGGTAGCGTTACGTGTACTCAGGTTACACAAAACAATCGAGCTGAACAATAGTCGCTTTCTTTAAGGGGCGGTAGGTTCCACAAACAGGCAATGACTCAGCGCAATTACGACGCACCTGCACATTCATTTGTGTGCCATGACGCGTAGGAGATGCTGAGACATCGTTTAGAATCTCAGTAATGTGTTACAAGCACTCAAAACGCGCTTTCGTAGGCTACAACGCACGCGCGAGAAATAGAGACGCTCTCGACAGCTTCAGTATACTACACGGCCACCGCTATGATTACCCGCCAGAACCCAAGACGTTGCCATGCTATCCGGCTCAGCCGCCTCGTTCGTTCCACTGCCCCTAGCCCCTTCTGACTGCACTAGCGGGACAGGCGGACGCCGGGGCCTCGCCGCCGCCCGGCCACTGGTAGGTGTTCTGTGGCCCAGCGCGACCGTCGAGACGGCGCCTCCCCTCTCTGCCTCGCCTTCACATGGAATGCATTGCGTACGGCAGTTTTGCATTCGAGAAATTGTGCGCATCTTCGGAGATGTTTTCCTTCCTCTGTGGGTCGCGCTCACGTGGAGACTTCGTTGGCTCCGTGCCGGCACTGACGATTGCAGGGGGCCTTATTTATGGACCTGCGGACGCGGTTAACGTTCATTGGCAGTGTGCGTACGCAGGGTTATCGCGGACAGCCGAATAAAACGGTAATTAACGAGTTGCGTTATGTGTGTTTTTGTGTTAGCCCGCGTTATGTGAATTATAGAATGAATTTTCTAGGGTGATTGGGCGCTTATTGCACATTGTGTCTGCACTGTTGAAGGCATAATAAGCCGCCGAAAACTGAAGGGAGGGTAGAGATTGAAACGGCGATGCGAACAGGGTCCGATTACGCTATCGCATAGTATACTATTGACGGCGAAGCTCAACCGTCCTCCAAGCTTTCCTTTTTTTTTTTTTCTTAATGGGGCACTGAGAAGGCGAAGTTTGCACACAGCTTCGCGCTTGAGAGGTGATGAGATCACTTAAGGTTTTCGTTCAAGGCAGCCTTCACTTGAGGGACAACGCAGAGATAGAAACTGCAAAATCACTGCGCACAATGTGCGTCGTGCACACAATGTGCTTTCTCTCGTGGGCCATTTCAGCGTTTTGTTTTGGGGGGGGGGGGGGGGTGCGCAGTGTTTTTTTTTTTTCTGAACCGGCTCGCGTGGCGATTTTTGTTAAAGGGCTTCTCAAGACCTTGTTGTTTTACATGATTATCAGCGGGTTGCGTAGACTGAAGGCGCTAGTGGTAAGTGCAGCAAGAATGGTAGCTATAGGGACAGGCAGTTCAAAGTTATTCAGCCTAGAAAATTCAAATTACAATAAAATGGACGGCTACCCTCAACTCAAATTTTGCGGTCACCTCGCCCCCCCCCCCCCCCCCCCATCTGATGTAGGATGGCTCCCCCAGTTTCCAAACTAACATAAGGCTTTTACGTACAGTAAGCTTGCATGCCATAGTGCCCGTTATTTCCAACGTATTGAAGACGCCGTTGCAATGGTTACAAATATTTATCACACTCATAGTAACTCACTCATGTTCCTACTCGCTGCTACTCACACTCACAGCAACTCACTCACCTTCGCAGCCAAGTCTACTCACACTCATGAGTACTCACCCAGGTTCGTACTTACTCCTATTCACATTCATGAGCTCTCACCCACTCCTAATCACACTCATGAGTACTCGCTCACGTTCATACTAACAAATACTCACACTCATCAGTACTCACTCATGTTCAAACTCCTACTCACTCACGTTCTCACTCACTTCCATACTCTCTCCTTCTCACACTCAGAGTACTCACTCACGTTCATACTCACTCCTACTCTCACTCATTTCTACTCACACTGATGAATACTCACTCGCGTTCAAATTCACATCTAATCACACTCATGAGTACTCACGTTCATACTCACTCATACTCACACTCAGAGTACTCACGTTCATACTCACTCCTATTCACACTCAGAATACTCATTCACGTTCATACTCACTCCTACTGACACTCATGAGCCCCCACTCACGTTCATACTCACTTCTACTCACACTAAAAGTACTCATTCACGTTCATTCTCACTCCTACTCATACGTGCTCACTCACGTTCTACTCACTCATACTCATCAGTACTCACTCATACTCACTCTCACCACATTCAAATGAGTATGAATGAGTGTGAGTCAGTGTACTCATGAGTGAGTATGCCAAGCTATGCTAGAAACGTGCTCCGAGTGAGAGCCAATCAGCGACCCAGGAACAACCTTCAGAAAACTCTCAACAGCGGCCATTCTGCTTGGACGAGGCCATTTTGAGATGGCGCAAATTACACACAAGGGGAACAGCTTCAAATCTAGTCCAACCAACCAAGATAATGACGCTCAGCTCGCTTCAACCAACGCTCATGGTGCGCGTGCGAAGTTCGAATAAATTTCGTTCCTTTGGGCGCATTTCACTGCTGCCGGCATGTTTTGAAGGACCAAATTTAGCATTAGTAATTTGAGAGTACTGTATTTACTCCCATACCATTACTGTATTTACTCGCAAGTAAATACGATTTCTTTTTTTTTCTTTCTTTGAGTAATTATCACAACCCCGAAATCTGCCGCAATAATGTCGTCTGCTCGTTCCAGCCACTGACTATGATAGCGGGCGTCATCTGGCGCCATCTTTTTAAGCATCAAGCGTACTATTATTGCACGGAGATTCAATCCAATTCAATCCAAGCCAAAGTGGCAAATGCGCATTGTGGCGTGTTTTGTATGTTGTGTCAGTAATCTTGTCATGTATGGGGCGTATTTGTATTGAGTGGGAAGGGTCTATTATTACACCCTGATTACCTTTGTCCACTCATAAGTGTAACTTTTCTACACTGGTTTCTCTCTCCGACTAGGTGTACTTAGTGGACTTTGGTTTAGCCTGCCGATACACGCAAAATGGCAAGCACAAGGAATACAAGGAAGACCTCAGGAAGGCACACGACGGCACGATCGAGTTTACAAGCCGCGACGCCCACATAGGCGGTGAGTCTTCCTTCACCCCATGCCTTTTTCCCCCCTTTCTTAAAGGGGCCTGCAAAAATTTTCAGCGAATCTTCGAGAAGCTTCACTATGAAGTCAACCACCATGTTTATTCGCGTAATGAACCTACTCCCTACTTCGATTCTTTAAAAATATATATCATGTTTTAAGGGGAGACACGGGTCTCAAAGATCAAAAAATTTCTAATAAATCAATTTCTAGAAGTACTTTTTAAAATAATATTCAATATATAGAGTATGAAGAAAGTGTTCCCGAAAATGCTGTTGCTATGTAATGCGTATTTGTCGAGTAATTTGGTCAAGACAGTCTCGTGACCATTACCATTCGTGACAACTGACAACACCTTAAAAATGGTCATATTCATTGGTAGTGTGGCATTTTGCTTTTATTTGAAAACCGTATTCTTTTGTTCCCAGCTGAAAATCACTTTTGGTCGAGCAACAACGCAGCCATCGTGAATAAAGAAAAAACAAATACTCGCACATCATAGGTGCGTTTCTATCACATGGGGCAGTTCTCTGTTCCCTATTGGATGTCAAGTGATTCGTCTGCTAGAGAGCGGTGCGCAATCCATCATTTTGTGACGAGGCCTAAGCGACGGCTGTCAATCAGTGTGATGGCAGGCGGTCACCAAAAATTCCATACTGCTCATGTGTTCGAAAAGAAGCGAAAACGGCGTCTGAGAGCATGCAGCGTCTTATCAGCGAAACTCTCTGCCACGGAGAACATAAAGAAAAGCTGGCTGTGCCAACGCTATCACGAACGCGGCTCCTGCGATCGCGGACGCGATAGTCGGGGCCAACGATCACACGCGAGACCTGCGCGTTGGCACTCCCCTGGTTTCCGACGCTAAAAAGGTGGCTCTTGCTTGTCATGCGAGTGACATTCAAAGAGACCTTTTGTCGACATCAGCCTTACGATGCGAGCAGTCTGTTTTTCGAGACTCGGAAGCGGCCACTGGAACGCCGTTCAACGTTGTAAGTTTAGCGATAATGAATGAACTGGTTCAGTGTATGAAGTGCGGTGTCTGGGGCAGACCTGGCAGTATTTCTGAAAAAGATCTCGGGAATATGGCATCGCCACGAAACTTGTGCTGACATGTGGTGAGGGCGGGGAACTGAAATTTGTACGGAGTACGCGGGGGGGGGGGGGGGGGAATGCGGTGCACGGTTTGTTTCGAAATCAACATGCTCGTGCGTGGTTTGCGCGGCACAGCAAACTGCATTGAATTGCATTTTTTTTTCACCCTGTATGTTTCACAGAGATGCAAAGACATATAAAGATTACGTGAAAGTGTGAATGATTTCTGCCTTGTAAAAGGCTGCCACGCATGATAATGACGACTGCGCGAGCACCGTCAAAACGCTTTTGCATGGAAACTCTGGAAACATCTGGCATGCAATGAAAAGAAAGTGCACGAAGAATGATTACGACTACACTCCTGGTGGCTTCTAGCATCACTACTGCACTGATTTACACCATTACCTGTTAAATATACAAGCTCACCATGTCCTTAAACTTCTTTTCTCGTTTTCTCAACACATTTTTCATCATGTCCGAGGCCATTGCCCTCACTATCTTTTGATCTAGTGGTTTGATTTTGATAATTTTTGCAGCATTTTAAAGCTTATACCTTGATAAGTACTACAAGACCAAAGACTTATATTCTTGTTAAGAACAGTGATTTAATTAGTGATATAGTTAATCAAGTTTCAGATTTCTGATGAGTCTACTTGTTAAGGCCATAACTCTTGAACCAATAAAGCTAAAAATAAAATTATGGTTTCCTTGCACTCTCTGTTCTTTACAGAACACTGCCATATCTAATTTGCAGGAATCTTTTATGAGAAAGCTGTCCAAACAGTGGGCAGAATGTAACTAATTATGAAATGGAAGCGCACAACGTAGAAGCAGACGGAAAGACAGGGACAAGCGCTTGTCCCTGTCTTTCCGTCTGCTTCTACGTTGTGCGCTTCCATTTCATAATTAGTCATGTATCACCAACTCGCCCAATCAACCATTTTGGCAGAATGTAAGTTTATAGAACAGTCAATATTTTAAAATCTGGAAGTGACAGCTGCAAACTAATTGCATACTTGTTTTCAGCTGTGAGAAATGCAAATCATAAAAATTTGTCTCCCAGTGTCTCTCCTTAATGTATCTATTTGTTTTATTTTGGTGTGATAGCCAGTGTCATTGACGATCGAAATACATTTAAGTATTGCGCTATTATAGCACAAAATAACGACACAATAAAACTCAAAATATGGTTTAACAATCATGCTAGACAGTTGGGTGCACGGACAACATTGACCAAAATTCAAGTCGTGCTTTTTTACCTATAGCTTTTTACTTATATCTCCATGCAAGTACAGTGGCGCGCAAACAAAGCGCAGCCACGACGTAACTGTGCCCATTGTGCTGACGACGCGATGTGCACCTGCAACTTGCGTGTGCCCGCCCGCCATCGCAAATGCGTTTATGTTGTTGGGTTTCTCGTAATTAACTTCGTGCTGCGCAAGGCACAATTGGCTAGTATGCTAGCTACATGGCCATGCGTAAAGTTGGACGTCACTACAGCGTCGATCACCCCGCCACAATGGTCCATAGTGGCTATAGGGTCCTGGGCTGCTAACCCGCAGGTCGCGGGATCGAATCCAGGCTGCGGCAGCTGCATTTTCATTGGAGGCGAAAATGTTGTAAGCCCGTGTACTCTGATTTGGGTGCACATTTAAGAACCCTCGGTGGTCAAAATTTCCGGAACCCTCCAATATGGAGTCTCTCATAATCATATGGTGGTTTCGGGACGTTAAACCCAACAAATCAATTAGTTCAGCATTTATCTGGGTGCATTAGTTACTGGAGCTTGCAGGAAGGAAAGATTGAAAAAAAGAAAAAAGAAAAACGTCTACTTTTTTTTTCTTTTCGTTGTTAGCCCACTCACGAAGGGGTGACATAGAGATCCTGGGCTACAACCTGCTCCAGTGGCTGTGTTGCCGGCTGCCCTGGGAGGACAACCTCAAAAACCCTGAGTACGTCAGCCAGCAGAAGAGCAGGTATGTCCTCCGGTCACTTCGTAAGTCGTGGGTGCGGATCCCAGCAACTGACAGGGCTTTTTTCTGGTCCTTTTCAGTTCGGTTTAGTTTACGTGATGATTACTGCCTTGAAAATAATTAGCCTTACGCTTTCCGAGGCCTAATCGTTGCCTAGTTGTTGTTTTTTAGTACAGTAGAACCCCCCTCATAAATGACATGCGCTTAGAACCTGCTATTATTGCTGATAAGTAGGTTGTATTGCTTTCATTTTCCCATCAGTTCCTTTTTTGATGTAGGCACTCTGGTCCCTTTTGTGCCAAATTTTTGTGTGTTACATAAGTGTATCAAGTTACATCATGATTCTACTGTGTAATATGCAGTTTTTAAAATATCGCTTTGTGTGTCTTGGGGGCATTTTGTTTTTCTTTTTTTCCCCTACACTGAGAGTTACCAAGTGCAATGGAACTTCAATTATACGTCCCCCGATTCCACGACGGCCCGCATTTTACGACGAATCGGTTAGGTCCTGGCAAGGTCTCCATAGGGATAATGTATTAAAAACCTTAGTTGTCAAAGCAGTTTTATGCCGACCCCGCATCTTACGACAGCATTCAGATTTCGTCCAAAAGAAAAAAAGAATTCCTTTACTCGAATCGAGTGCGGACCATCCGTGCCTCCGTCCGTACGTCTGCCCGTTTGTCCGTCTGCTAGTTTGTCTGACCATCCGTCCGTGCGTCCATCTAGTGAACACTGGCAAGTACCGCCATCTCACATCCCCTGTGGCACGCACATGCATACATGCATACATACATATATACAAAGGACGGACAGACCCACGCCTTAAGGAGCTTTGCCCCTTAAAAGGTTAAGCTTTCTGTGAGATTTTCATGGCATGGACACTGAACTTTTATCATCTGTAGAATCACTAATTATGATTTGATTTGAAGCCCGCTTGTAGCGGTGCACTTATTACTACTTATGCCATTTATCTATACAATAATATTCACTTAAAGACGATCGTCTTTCTTGGGGACTTTCGACGCACAAACTTTGGTCTGTCTGTCTGTCTGTCCACCGTTACAGCGAACTGGGTGATGGGTGCTGCGGATGGGTCGACCCCATCTGCAGCACCCATCAATGTTGTTCAAGGATCAGCGTTCATACGTGTGCGATTTCAATTAAAAAGCAATTATTGTGCATATCTGAGACACCATAACAACACGTATATTTATTTATTTATTATTTATCATATACTGCGAACCATTTAAGGTCCAAGCAGGAAAGGTACAGCAAGTTCAAAGGTAAAATAAAAGTACAGTGAAATCTCGATACAACGAATTTGAAGGGACCGCGGAAAATAGTTCGTTATTTTGAAATATCGTTATAGTGAAAACATCGAAAATTCGCATTAAAAATCGTAAATGCAACAAAAGGGTCGCCTACCTTTGCTGTGTACACATCCGCAAACGCTTGATTTTATGACGAGCGTGAAAAGAAACAAAACGCGAAGTATTCCGGAATGAGCGCACGTTTATTTGAAAAAGTCGGTGATCTTGGCCTGGCGGGTGCCGCTCAACTGCCGCAGGACGAACGCTTCGAAGTTGTCCACATTCTTATGCTCTGCTTCGGTGGCATTGCTGCACCTGCCAAGGTAAGTGCGCATCTTTCGCACGCATTCCATGATGTCGGCGTTGGAAAGCGATTCTTCTGGTTGGCTAACGGGCGCGGTCTCAGCGTCGTCTTCGCCATTGGCGTCCTCGTCGCTGTTGTCACCACGAACAGCACTGACGATGTCATCGGTCGTCAGTTCGGCTGACGTGCATGCTTCGTCGTCGCACTGCACATAGTCCTCGAACGTCACCGAGGCATCCATCGCGAGTCTTTCGACGACTTCTTGCCACATGCCACTCGCGTCGCTTTCTTCGCTGCCTTGTTCAGATTCAGATGGCATTACTACCAAGCCTGCCTTCCTCCAGCAGTTCTGGATGGTGGTTGATGTAACGCTCCACCAGGCCCCGGTAACCATTTCTGTGGCCTGTCGCACATTGATGGAGGTAGGCAGCTTCATCCGAAGATTTATCAGCAATCGCTGAACCAGGCGTGTCCGGTAATGGGCCTTGACACTTTTTATGATGCCTTGGTCCAGTGGCTGGAGCAAGGACGTACAGTTCGGAGGCAAGAATTCCAGCTGTACATTTGTCAGCCTGACATTAACAAGATGCGCCGAGCAGTTGTCGGCGATAATCAGGATTTTCCTACCTGCGCTCCTCATCTCATCGTCCACCTTTAGTAGCCACTCAGAGAATAACTCTCGTGTCATCCACGCGCGTGAATTAGCCCGATAATCGCACGGCAATGAAACAACGTTCCTCATGCAGCGAGGCTTCTTGTATTTGCCGATCACCAAGGGCTTCAGCTTCTTGGTGCCTGTGGAATTGCAGCATAACAATACCGTAATCCGGACTTTGGACTGCTTGCCGCCTTTGCAGCTGTTCCCTTTAAAATGCATGGTTTTATCAGGAAGCATTTGATAGAAGAACGCCATTTCGTCCGCATTGAATATATCATCTTCGGAGTATGAAGCGACGATTTCGCGGAACTTCTCGTCCCTCCATGCAGCAGCGCTTGCTGCGTCTGCCGCCTTCTCTTCACCAGACACCACTTGCCAGGTGATTCCATTCCTTTCACGGAAACGATGAAGCCACCCCGCGCTTGCTTCGAAGCCTGTGATGTCCAAAGCATCAGCGAATTGCCGGGCTTTTTCCTGCAGCATGGGTCCCGACACCGGCACATTTTGAGAACGCGCGTCCTTGAACCAAGTCAGTACTGCACAGCATCCACTTCTTGGAAATTCCCAAGTCGGAGCCGTTTTCTTGACGGTGCGAGTTGGGACCCTCGGTGCAGCTCGAGGATCTTTTGTCGGTCCTTCAGGATGGTTGCGACAGTTGATGGTGCAACCCCCATCTCGTTCGCAATGTGGATTTGTTTTTTACCGGCGTCCACTTGAGAAAGAATATCCACTTTTTCTTTCAAAGAAAACTGCCTCCGTTTCTTTTTCGCGCTGCTTCCGGAGCTCATCGCGAACGCAGAAACGAATCACTCTAACCTTTAAAACGAGAAAGCCGTACGACAAGCGTGCGACGTTGCCGGTCGACGTAACAAAACAAAGGCGGCGAGGTTAGGCTCAACCTGGCTCATTGAGCATGCAAAAAAAAAAAACATCGAAAACAAGGTACTGGCGATGGCGATAGGGCTAGCCAGGCTAGTGCGCATTTAGCATAAAGGCAACGCATGGAGAAATGAGCAGGAGCTCTGATGATGATGATAGTGCCACATATGGCGCTGGGCATTTAGACCGCCGCACGTAATTTTTACGCTAGAAATTCGTTATTTTGAAGTGCTCTTAAGGTACCAGGGTGATAAAATTTGATACGTTATTCTGAAACATTCGTTATTCTGAAATTCGTAGTAGTGAAATATTTTTACATTGAACCAATGGACATTTGGAAGGGGATTTCCGAAATATTCGTTAATCTGAAAAAATCGTTAATCTGAGGTTCGTTATAACGGGATTTCACTGTACAACAAAGTTACAACAAAATTGATACTGGTATACACGAAATGTAAGAAAAACATAGCAATCACCATCAAATTATACTCGTTTCCAGAGGGCTGAGTACACCCACTGCAACACAATCCATAAGCACCACACTCTCAGGCACACAACAAATTGTTAAATCAAACAAGTATTGTGAAAACCAGGAAACACAAGGCGCATTTCATGGTGAAAAGGAAAGAAGAGTAGAGTTTTGGGGCAACAAATTCCACTCAGAGATTGATTTCGGGAAAAGAGAGTATATATTCTGCGTGTTCGTCTTTTACTAGAAAAGGCATACATAAGTAATTCTAAGGACCGTAGTGCTTATCACGCTGCGCTGACCATGCAACGCTTGCACGAAAAGGCGAGTGTTTCCAACGCTTCAGAAGACACGGTGGTGGACCCTACCCGTCACCTTGCGTTCTACACCTTATCACCTCTGAAACGGGCGCGCACGCCCATCTCAAGGCTATGCGCTTTGTTTTCCAAAAAAACTGCCAGATGGCGCTCGTGTCTCATGTGTGACATGACTTGATACACTCATTCGCCTCCGCTGCACGCTCGAGGCACTATATCAATTCGGCGAATATCATTCGCCGAATTCCTTGCGCAGAACATCAAATAAATGTTTTGTTCACTCTCTCCACGCGCAAGACTATCGTCTTTCGACAACATCTGCATATTACATGCAGATACAGGGCCAATTTTTTTAATTAGCACTTTCTGTCCTGTCGTCTCCAAAAACAATAGAGTGGCAGCTTTGTGTATCTATCTTCTTTTTCTGAATTAATTGACCTACAAGACATTTTTTTTTGCATATCTGAAATAGGCAAAAAAAAACTTAAGCATGTTTATTTTCATCGTTTGGTCTAAAGAGGCAGGAAATGTCTCCACACGTCGTGTCTCCCCTTATGCTGACAGGGTCTAAGTGAATCAGCATATCACAGTAATTTGGAATCAGAACTGTGCGCAGTGCAATGAAAAAACAGTGGAACGGAAATGGACAGATAACAAACGCCTAACAACAGCTTTCGTGCTGTCACTACTAGATCGTTCGAACCTTTGTTTTGAGTGTTTTGTTTCTGCAGGCTGATGGAAGACATCCCCCTTCTGATCAGCAAATGCTTCCCGCACGGAGACATTCCATGTGAGTATAATTTTTCATTCCTTTCGTTTTTTTTTTTTTGTGTGTGTGTGTGTGTGTGTGTGTGTGTGTGTGTGTGTGGTTTCGCGCAGAAATTGCCACATGCTAACCTAACCACAGCACAGAACTTGTGTGGGCCAGTGCACTCCTCCATTCTTTGTCCTTCGGCTGGTTCCGTCCCTCGAGATTATTTTTATTACTTCCATAGGCATTTCGAAGTGCCGGTTCCACGGAAAGGGGGAGAGGTCATCTAAGCGCTCCCCCTCCCTGCATGAGGCTCAATCCGTGGGGCAGTTGACTCGATGCAATTAGAAAAGGGAAGCAGACGTCAAAGAATAATGTGGCAAACAACAGCACAGACCAGAGGATGAAGAACCTAGGACACAGCCCTGACACTCTGCTGATTTTCTTATTAGAAAAGCAGGGAATATAAGTTGATAGTCTGTGCCGTCTTTTTCCACAATGTTCATGAACGAGCAACTAACCCACATAAGACCCCATGTTCGAAGAATAACACTGTCAATTAGCTATTTATTGGCCAACTGTGCATTGTTACGATACTACAGGTGTTGACGAATGTTTCGAACCCAGGTGGCATCACTGAGTTCCTCCAGTATGTGGCCTCCATGAAGTTCGAGGACACGCCCGACTACAAGCGGCTAAAAAGGATCCTCGAGAAGGGCATCCAGGCGGCCGGCTTCAAGCCAGACGGCCGGCTACTGTTCACGCCACCAAGGACGCCGCGCCGGAACTCCTTTTCACCAAAGGTTTGTGCCGCACCGGATTTGTTGGCCACTTGAAAGAGTTGAAACTTGGTGATGTTGAAGATGTTGAAACAGTGTAAAATACTAAGAAGCGGAAGAGGTGCACCAGAACATTTATTAACTGTGCCATGAATTTGCCGCCAAAGTGAGGAAAAGATCAAGCGACCAGTAGGCTTGCGTGGGTACAACGTTGCCAACAGTGGTGCATACATGTAGGGGGCCATCCTCACACTGATCAGTAGATATGTAAAATGTGAAGTGTTAGGGGTGTGCGAATTTTTTTTTTTTGCCATTTCGGAGCAAAATTTAGCCTTTGAAACGGCTGTGGTCCACAACCTATTTGGTACGCTCAAATCAAAAGGGTGACTTTTGAGGAAAGGCATTGTCTAATGCGCAAGCCTAAACGAAATAGGTATTCTGCAGATAAAATTCATTGATCAGGGTTGAAGAAGCTCATTTTATCGCACAAGGGTAAAAGCTGTTTTACGAGGGGCTGTAGACGTTCGGTGTTTCGAGTGCTTTTTCGCACTGTAATGCTGTGTTATCAATGGAGTGTGGTTAATCCTCACACGCCTTTTTTTCTTTGTGTCGGTGCAGTTTTGTTTTCTGCCCACGACATAGGTGTGTTTCTGTGCCTCCCCTATGGAGCTCATCATGGCAAAGTGGCAACCAGTAAGTTTTGTACAACCTGTCCAGAAAAAAAATATATATATATATACACATATATATATTCCTGCTCACGCTTCTTCGTTGCAAGTGGCACATTCTCCCAACTACGCCCTAGTAGCCTTGCTGTTTCGCCTAGTTTCGGTGCACTTCGTTTAGCTCAGTTACACCACATTGCACTAATTGGTTGTGGCTGCCAGCATTTTGGTGTAGGTCATTACAGTTATGCTAATTCTAACCAAGCTCTCCAAGCCAAAGCTTTTGTCTGCTCTCCAGCATCTTGGCTTCTGCTTGCAAGGGCCTCTTCTATGCACTGAGAGGGTGCTTTGTTTGCTGGTTCATCTAATTGGGCTTCATTGTATCGGTTTTCATTCTTTTCTGCGTGTTGGTTGGAAATGGAGTTTGCAGCTGTCAGGCTTGCTAATGGGGCGTCATTCCTAAGTACAGTTCGCCCACATTGAACTGTACTGTCATGAAGGGCATGACTACTAGTCTTGCAAGTTAGTTGTTCGCACACCCCTAAGTGTATCTTTAGTTGTCAGATGGGATGTATGCGCACCTATTCAATCAATTTCCGTGTACAAAATTGGATGTAGCTGTGCGAGTAAAACCAAGTTTGCTGAGAAAACTGTATCTTTGTGGAATTCCTAACTGGTATGGGTATGTCAAGTCACTGGCAGACAGCTCTTGTGGTTGATTTCTTTTGTATGGTCGATCACAAGGATACGAATTTCTCAAGCTGTAGAGTTGCTACACTCCCTGTAAAGTTGTTTGTGCCTTGATGCGCACGTGTTTCGTACATAGGCTGTATTCAGAGTTCACAACTATCGAATGGTAAGGGGGCGTGCTCGCGAGCGTTTATTGTCACCATCATTATCATCATGGTTAGTGCGGTAGCGCCTGCTGTAACACATAGCGGCAAGCTGGGTGGCGGCGCATGAGATGAGCGGTTCTCTTAGACATGTGGCGCTTGGAGCGAGCGGTCGTCTTTTGTGGGCCCTCGTGGTGAGTCTAGCCTCGGGGACACCTCCTTGTGTTTGTTGTGTTGTTGGGTGTTGTGGAATATTATGTAAAGTTTTGTTTAACGTGTTGATCACAACTTATGCATTTTGATTCGGCTGACAATATCATTGTTCTCAGTGTACCTAATTGAATAAATGCGTTGTTTAAATTGGGTTCGACCGCATCTACTGTGTCCGTGTTCCGAGAGCGTGATGCCTCATTCCGAGACCCCACAAAATTAGTGTCACGTAATGTAGTGATAGAAGTCCAGTCTATTCAACAGTTCCGAGCCTCTCGGTGTCTGCAACTGTATTGCTTTAATTCTCGCCTCGTCCCAGAAGAAGCCCGTGCTGCAAGAGATCATCCTTGCCGAGGACAGCATGGATGACGAAAGCGGGGAGGACGAGAACGTCGTCAAAAAGCCACCACCGGCCAAGATCGCCCGTGGCCGCACAACACCTGTCCGGAGGAACAACCGCCGGTCACCCGCAGCGTCCAAGTCTGCCTCAGACTTCAGCGACCTCAAGCTCGAAACCGAGCGAAAGCCGGTCAAGAAGAAGGCAGTGTCAGCTCTCTCGGCCAGGACGAGTTCTAAGGGTGAGCTCTAAAGCGCGCTGTACTTTGTGCCAACTTGAGGAGGAGAAAAAGTCAAATTTGTCTACAGCGATTGCTGTTGTTTCCAAAAAGAATTTCCATAAATGCTCGATCATATAGCACTTACTCATTTCTCTGATGTCAAGCACTTCTGGGGAGTTCCAGATGGTTGACTTTGTCATAAAGACGTTTGTTTGTGTCGCTTGTTTTTGGTTGGAATTCGGACATTCCGATAAATTTCGTTAGAAACTCTATATCGCTGCGAAGCTAAGCATAATGTTTCAGGTACACTCAAACCTCACACAAAGTTGCATATTATACCAAAATGCTTGTTATACAGTGCAGTCCACTTATAACGATATCGAGAAAACCTAAAAATATGATCGTTATAACCGGTGATCGTTATATCTGGACTGCCACCAAAAAATCGTCGCCGGACGTACCTTTTGTAGCTCCAGGCTTCATTTCGCTATTTTCACCAATTAATAAATATTGTAGATAGTAGGATGTCAAAAACAAGACTTTATTTCTTACTCCGAAAAACGCATCACGGGTTCGCTGAGGAAGAGAGACTGACCGACGGCGGGGTGGGAGCAGTGGGAGGAAGGAAGCACAGCCAGAGGTACACAGCCGGAATGCCAACGAGGCCCCACCCCGATGCCGCCGCGCCGCTTTGCTTTTCGCTTTTTTTATTTTCTCTCTCTTTCCCACTTTCGTTCGGCAAGCTACGAGTAGCCGGCTTGCCGTTGTAGAACGCGGGGAGCCGCAGAGCGCGGCGCTTTGCTTTTCGCATTTTTTTTTTTTTAATTCTCTCAGCCTCTCCGGCGCAAAACGTGACACAGCTGGCGCCATCTGTAGCGCGTCGCGCCAACTCGCGATGCTCTCCTCGGCTTTTTGAACGGCCGGGACGCGCTGCCGGCGCTGTGCTGCAGTGGCGGCAAGTACTCGCCTACGCTAACTTTTCGTCTTGTCTCGGCATAGTTCGTTTCAGAGGAACTTATCAATCTAAATGTTACGATTATTCTGAATGAACATGCCGTCCACGGCAAACTTTTCATCGTTGTATCCGATATGCGGTGGATAACATATCGTTATATATGGTTTTTTTCCCCATAGCCCCAATGCATAAAATGAGACTGTTAAGTCGACCCATCGTTATAACCGATATATCGTTATATGTGGTATCGTTATAAGTGGACTGCACTGTATACGCAATTTCGTTATAAATGTGTAGTCCTAACACGATGTGTATATATTGCAAAGTTAATCTATTTATAACTAGTATTTCATTATATGAGGTTCGTGATATAGAAGTTTAAGTGTTCTAACAAGCTTTTAGCTCCTAATGTAGTGTGGTTTTTACGTTAGCTGATAAAAAGCCCTTATGGCTCAACCACAAACTGGCACATTTTCCCTTCGCATGTGGAGGGCAGGTGTACTGCAGTAGTGTTGGTAGAGCCTCTGCTGACATTCCTTCTTGTGTTTTAAGGGGAGAGGCTACTCGAAAACACTTTTTCTTTAGTTTTCAAGTTAGGGTTTCCAAAATTTAGCCACAGAGATATTTTTTCTTGTAGATTCCAAAACTGTTATCAGATTTTGTGTAGCCTCATTACTTTTAAAGTTATTATACATGCAATAGCAAAACAAAGGGATTTTTACTCTCGCTTTTTCGACATCAAAACTTTTGTGTAGATGTTTGTGTAATAGCTTATTATGCTTGTCATGAACTACTGTGTGCAATTAAGAGGTTAAAATTACGAGAAAAAAAAGCTGCTACTACAAAAAATGAACAGATCTGCCAAACTTCTTTTTTTCAGGGTTCCTTGTATCATTTCTTGGTATGTTTTATTGATAATGGCTATGCATCATAAATCAGAATAGATAACGGCACTCTACACACCTTGAAGAATGTGTGTGCCAAGTTTCATCGCAATAGGACAATTTTAAGGGGATGAAACTATGTGAGTGAAATGTGACCGTGGCCAAAAATTTCAAAATGAGAAAAACACGTTTGGAAGTTTGAAACATGTTACTAATTAGGGCGCACTTGCAACACTCAAAAGTGTGTCTAATGCACAGGCAGTATGTCCAGGAGCTGGCCACGGTGACTAGAATTCACCCGCACTGTATGTAACTCCTTCGCGGTCCTTCCGAGCGGAGTCCTAAAGGCGAGCTCTCTTGGCCGATGTGCGGCGGTGAGCCCTCGCCTCAGCAGTCTGTTGGGGATTCATCTTCTGAATGCGCCTCTTGTCGCTGTAGTCCCCCAGGGTGGTCAAGCTTGCTGGTGGTAGAACACCAAGCTCCTCCAGGACCACCTCGAAGCTTGCATGGCCCCGGTTATACCAGAGCACAGCAATGGCTGTGGCAGTCTCCACAGCACTTCGGGAAGCAAACTTTGTTTTTGGGCACAGCAGCCACACCTTGCTGTTGAGAGACTCAGCAGCGTTCTGAGTTTTCCCTCGAAGGCATCGGGCCAGCAGCTTCTCGTCAGAAAGGGGCTTGTATATGGGCAGCAGTGCCCGGCCCTGTGCCTTTGTCAGAAGTGGTGTATGCTGTGGTGCAGGCTCGCCCATTGCTTCAGCACGCTTGTGCTTGCACCACGATTCTTGGCCTGGTGGGCAGAAGTTGTGGCTACCAGCACCATCAGTGGAGCAAGAGTGAAAGTAGGACGCCCATATGGCAGTGTACATGTCCCGTAGGTTGCCTCTATTGCCCGTGATGGCGATCTGATAATATGTCTGCAGCTTTTCAATGGTGGCAGGCTTGAGCTTCTCACCTCTGGGCAGTGGTGTCGGCAATTTGCGTATGCCAGTGCCTAGGTGCTTTGCAACATGATTAGTGCAGTCCTCCTTGCAGATGGCACCTGCACCGTACACCTTGGCATCACAAATTCCGTTATATGCTTTCCTGTCGCCATCACTAAGAAATGTTGCGAAGCGAAGCGGAGTCTCATACAGCAAAGTGCGCTCCCATATCCGTAGTGCTGCTTCAGCTTCCATGCCATGAGCGGAGCTGTCAGTGTTCTTCTCACAGACAGGTCTGTGGTAGGTCTGCCAGAATTCCTCTTCAGAGCCCATGTCGTTGTGTAGACTGTAAGCGTGGCAGTAATTCGACAGCACGTCGAAATCTAAGCACGGGCCGGTGTCGAAGGAGATAGCTGCGCCGACTCCGTTGTGGCTTTTATGGCCCCGTTTCTGCCAAGTTTCATCATACATTACGGCCACGTCACTACTATCAACCACCTGCTTTGTTACGGCTCTTGCCTGGTTCAAATTTTCGCTCACGGCCCTCATAGCAGCATCGTGAACCTTCTTGCTTATTGCCTGGAAGGTTTTGTGGTGCATGGGCTTCGCTAGTCCAATAATCGCACAAAACCGCGAAAGCTGGTCATCTCCGATGCCTATGGCACGCGAGGCTACAACAGCTTTCACATTAGCCGCGAAGCTATCACGTGAGCTGCCGTTGCCGTAGTGCCCCACCTCCGCGCAGTCGTCAGATGCTGCGGCGGCTTCGCCTCGACATATGTGTCGAAGAGAGAACACCAGGCGCGCACTCACTGTTCTCACACCGCAACTCGAGACAGGACGACAGTCCTTTGCGCCGTTCTGCCACCTCGCGAACAACAAGTTTGTGTTCACGGCAAGACGGGCACTCCGCTTCGCCCACAAGTGCCGTCATCGCATCGATGTCGCACAGCACTGCTGATGATATGCCATCATGCGCATGCCTTTGGTTCTTCTCAAAAAACTCCAGTTTTTTTTTTGTGAGGCGCTGACGAAGTTTGCGGCAGCGTCGAGGCCGCCGGCGAAGTCACTGTCGCGATAGTTGCCGACGCTGGGGTTAGGCCTAGACCTCTCCGGGCCGTTCACCTTTGCCGCAGTCTGACGACGCACTTTGCGACGTTTTCCCACATACTTGTTTATCGTCCGGTACTTTTTCACCTTGTACACCTGCTTTCTGGCAGGATTCATCGCGTAACTAATTGAATAAATCCTTGCGAAGTTCAGCTTGTGATGCAGAGCGGGGCCGAAGGGACAAGCGGGCACTGCGCTAGCCAATGGTGCGCTCGCTAAGGCACCACGTGACGCGCCGCGTGATTCAAACGGCACGCAGGGGCGTTCAAAAAAGTATTTTTTATAGTATTTTTTTCTTTCCGGACGAGACTTTTCGAGCCTGTGTTCGAGAGAGCATGGACAACTCTAACCGCCTCAGTGATTACAAATGGCGCACGGTGCCGCTGCCTCGAGATACCGAGGCCGGCGAAACGTCAATTTTGGCAGATTTCAGCGATTTTCTAGGTCTCCGGGGCTTACTTGAGCGCATTTTTCAATAACTTCTGACACGAATTACCGATTGAAATTTATTTCTGGTAAACATGAATGTTTAAAGAATCTAATACGGCTGAAAACAAAAAAGTGAAAATTTCCGGAAAAAACGCGATTTTTCGACCCGCGTCTCCCCTTAACCAACTGCAAGGATGTTGGAAATAAACTCGAATCAACATGTTATTCACCAGGGGCAAGTTTAAAGGCGAAAGCGTTTAATAGCTCATAATCGTGATGACCTATCCTTCTGTCTGTGCCCTGGAACTGTGCCAACTGTGGCCCCTCCCCCTCATACTGCTAGGAATGTCGTGGTGGCACAGCGGCACATAGCAACAGTCGCACCACCACAGCTGTTGCCTCTCTCTCTCAACATTTGATTGCTGAGAGAGTAATAAAAGAGGGTGAGAGAAAAAAAGAGGGATGGCTTAGCCAGTCCAATGGCTGGAATTTACAAGGTGTCCTTCGATTCATTGTTTTAAGAACTTGGCAGTGCAAACAAACGATGCCTAGGACTCGTTTTGTGGCCTGCTTGTTCTATCTCTCTTGTTTCTATCGTCATGTTTGTATATAATGGAATAACACGTCGTTCGAGGGGCTGCTGATCGACTCTGGTGACTGGCAACGTTGTGTGCAGACTCGCGGAAGAATGGCTTCTGCGAAGACAGCAACAGCATGGGCCTGGACAACCCTACTCCGGCCATGCTGGAGGTTCTCCAACGCAAGCAGGCCCTACTGGCCCAACAACAGGAAGGGCTGCTGCCTTCGAATGGCCGCAAGCGTTCCAGCACCTCTCCGCCGGCCAACCACTGTCCCTCGCCTCTGTGGGGGGACAGCTCTCTGTCGCCCACCCAGACCTGCGATGCCGCCGTGCAGGCAGACGACAGCAACGGTGAGTTGCCGCAACTTTCCTCTGCTCCTAGTCTGCAAACTGAAGAAATGTGATGTGTGTTGCAGAATCAACTGAATATTGTGGGCCGATTTTCATTTCTAGGGGTATTTAGCAGATCCATTCTCACCTTAATCTTACCGTATTTTCGTGCGTATAACCCACACCAAAACTTGAAAATTTCAGTAGCCAAATGGGCGTTCAGATAATACGCGGGGTTTTTCCTACAGTGCTGCTTCACAGCATTACGTGTTGTGTCGTGAAATCTCTAGGCAATCTAGCAAAGGCTACGGAGGCAGTTCCTGCAAATTCTTGTTGCTCCCCAAGTATACGGCAACTTGTGCCCAACTTTGGTTTTGCTTCCTTGCATCGTTGAGAAACATTTATGGAGAGACAATTTGATTGTTCATTGTAAACCTCACTGTCAGATTACAAGGATGTTTTTGGACGTTTGCGCCGCGCAGTGGCCCTTCACCACGCTCCACATGCCCCTACGTCACAAACATCGTGTTTACCTTGAAAAGGCGCTTGCCGAAAAGGTGGTCCTGTCTAAGAAAAGGAAGGCATTTTCGCAAAGGGAACAATACCTGTATCTTACCTACAACTTCCCGCAACAGTTTCAGTTCCATAATAAATAAAGCAGTACAGTCGAATTAATAAAAGCTAAGTAAACGGAGGGCTCTCCATGCAGTGACGCATGTGCATTGAGCTAACACACGAGGGGGAAGTTTAAGAAGACTTACATTTATTCACATACCGTATTTACTCGATTCTACCGCGCCCTCGATTGTAACGCGCACCCGATTTTCACCGCGAAAAAAAAAAACAAACAAAAAAAAAACGTAAGACACCGATTGCAACGCGCACCCATTTTTCTCGCTGGCCTGCACGATCACACCACTCGAAAAAACGACTCCTTTCGGGAGCGTCTTCTATTTAAATATGAGGTACGGGCGAAGCTTGTGCCCATCTGACGTGTAACAGAGCATTGCCGTCACTGTAGTTTTACCGTGGACCGATGTCAGCACGCGAACTTGCTTCGCCCCCTTCTTCTCGACGGTTGTGGTGCCAGGCATGTCGAAGTAAAGAGGCGTCTGATCGGCATTCCCGATTTGCCCAAGCAGGTAGCCGTTGTTGCGCCGCAAGTTTAGGACGAACCTCTGAAAACTGTGAAGCTTTTCATCGTACTCCTCCGCAAAACTTTTCGCATATGCATGTTCCCCTTCGGAGGGAAAAGCCTTTACTCTTTATAAAGTTAGTTAGCCAGCACCTGCTCGCTTAAAACTGGCTCCGCATTAGACCGTTTTCTAAGACTAATTGCATAGCCCGCACTTGGAGCAGTTCTGTCGTCACGGGCCGCTGTGCCGCTCGCTGCTCAAGCACATACTCGCCGAGCAGCTCTTTAATTTGCGGAAACCGACCCTGCTGTAGTCCACTGAAGCCTTTGCGTGAAGCTTTGCTGTTGACAATCTCCTGCTTTTGTTTCCGCCGGTCCCGCACGCACGTTTCGGGAACTGCGAACGACCGCGATGCGGCCCGATTTCCGTCCGTTTCTGCACACACGATGGCTTTTCTTTTAAAAGCGGCATCGTGGTGCACTCAAGTTTTTGGAGTCGGCCCTTCCACACTGTCGATGCTAATGCACTACTAGATGACGAACTCCTCAGCACACGTACGAAGTGCCGCACATGGGAAACACATAGGCAGAAATGGCCAACGCGCCATGCCGACGCACATAGGGGGCGGCCATTTTGGATTTGCCGATGGCAATAGATTGACCGTAATTTTTGTTCGTACTCGATTCTAACGCGCATGCGATTTATGAACTCGCTTAACCGGAAAAAAGGTGCGCGTTAGATTCGAGTAATTACGGTATCACAAGACATCAGTCATTAGTTGAAGTAATCGGGTTATGGGCATCTGCACTTGCTTGCCTTGCAACGAGTCAATCAATTCTGCCGCAGCTTGCGAAGTGAGTTTACCTCGGCTTCAGCATTCTCCTGGCAAAAGAGTTTGCGCTCGGCAATGTCCAGCGCCGACATTCTTTAAAGACGACGACAACAACAACTGTATCTCCGTTACTACCCTTTCCGCCAAAGCCGCAGCGTGGCGAGCACGTGACATGAAAGGAGGGGAGCGTCTCTATGCGGAGAGAAGCAGATCGGCATTTGAGAGAAAACTACCGTATAATGCGGAATATAGGTCGAGGCGGAATATAGGTCGACCCCCTTACCTTGACCAGCAAAAAAAAAAAAGAAAAACGCGGAATCGTTCACTGCTTCACTTTAGTCAGTCCTCACAGTCCTCCGAGCTGTCGGAGCTCTCCGACGACGACGACTGCTTGTCACTAGCCGCCTCCCACAGCATGTCGTCCTCGGTGCCGTCGAGAGCGTTGCTGATGCAGCACTTCTTGAATGCGCGCACCACCATCTCTTCAGGCAGAGACCTCCATGCCTCGGAGACCCAACCACAAACTGTCGCGAGAGGTGGCCTGCGCAGCCGGCCTGTCGGGGTCCGCGGGTTGTCGCCAGCCATCCATTCGGTGTACAGCGCACGCACACGGTCTTTAAAAGGTTTATTGAGGACGACGTCCAACGGTTGAAGTGTTGATGTCATTCCTCCCGGAATGACGACAAGATCCGTCCTTCCGTCGCGAAGGCTCTCCTTCACCGATGCTGTCAAATGCCCGCGAAATGCATCCAACACGAGCATGTTCCGGCGCTGCAGGAGGGCTCCGGGCCGCCGGTTCCACACTGTGCGGATCCATTCGCGCATTAGGGCCTCGTCCATATACCCCTTCTCGTTGACGCGGACGACGACATCCCGCGGGAAGGCCTCCTTCGGCATCGTCTTCCGCTTGAAGATTATGAAGGGGGGCAACTTTCTGCCGTCGGCCGTGCAGCAAAGCATAACGGTGAAGCGCGAATGCTCGCTACCGGTCGACAAAAGCCTCACCTCTTTTGCCCCGCGTTCACAAACAGTCGTGGACGACGGCATGTCAAACCACACCGGCGTTTCGTCGGCGTTGCCGATCTGGCCTAGCATGTAGCCATGCTGCCGCCGGAGGTTGTTCACATAGAGTTGAAACTCTATCAATTTGTCCTCGTACATCTCCGGCAGCTTCTGGCATATCGACGTGCGCCGTCGAAGCGCAAATCCTTTGCGTCGCATAAAGCGACGGACCCAATAAATGGATCCCTTGAAGTCTTTCTTTGACAGGCCGGCTTCACGGGCGAGCTCGACGGCTTTTGAGCGAATGAGCTCCGCATTCACGGGAAGGGATTTGGCACGGTACTCGCGGACGAAATCCGCCACTTTGTCCTCGAGTTCCGGGTGCACAGCTCGGCGACCGCGAAACGACGTCTTCCTCGCGTTACACACTGACAGTTTGGATTTTTGGTTGCGCCAGTATCTGACGCTTTTCTCGGACACTCCAAACTGCCGCTGTGCCGCCATGTTGCCATTCACTTCCGCGAATTCTATAACTTTTCTTTTAAACGCGGCGGTGAACTGGCGCCGCGTCCCGGTATTCATAGCTGGTCGCAGAGTAAAAGTCGCCACTCTCTACGAACACGAAATGAACAAGAAAAGAAAAATGGCGTCGGCAGAGGCGTCGGCCCATGGAGGCGATGTCGATGCTGATGCCCAAAAAACATGCGACACTCCCTGTTGCCAGACGATCACTTTGTTTATGCCAAGGGCCGGTATATAGGTCGAGGGGTGACTTTTTAGCGAAATTTTTTGGAAAAAATCTCGACCTATATTCCGCACTATACGGTAACACTCCACAGCAGCTCTCTCTCTCTCTCTCTCTTTTTTTTTTTTTCTATCTTTGTGCGCTTTGTTGAAAGGAGAAGGGTTGTTCGGCAGGAACGGGAAAAGGTGAAGCGTGGCACTGGCACATGAGAAAAAGCCACACTCTGCGGCAACTTTTTTTTTCCCTCTCTCTTTCTTTGCGCGCGGCATTGGAATGAGAAGGGTCTTTACGTGGTAGGGGCAGAAAATGGAGACGCGTGGCGCAGGCGCGTAGATCATCATTTTAGAGAGAGAAAACATTCCACAGTTGCCTTTTTTTTTTCCTTTGCTTCGCGCGCACTGTTGAGGTGTCAGAGGTGCCGCCGCGGGATTGGGCGGGGTGCTGAGCAAGCCCTGCCGTAGTGGTCTAGTGGCTAAGGTACTCGGCTGCTGACCCGCAGGTCGCGGGTTCAAATCCCGGCTGCGGCGGCTGCATTTCCGATAGAGGCAGAAATGTTGTAGGCCCGTGTGCTCAGATTTGGGCGCACGTTAAAGAACCCCAGGTGGTCTAAATTTCCGGAGCCCTCCACTACAGCGTCTCTTATAATCATATCGTAGTTTTGGGACGTTAAACCCCACATATCAATACCAACCGGGGTGCTGAGCATTTTCTTAGCGCGGTATGTTCGAATTAACCGTCGTAAGTGCTTGCACGTTCAAATTACCGGGCGTTTTTGCCCACTGAAATACACGTAGCTTTGACGGGACCTCATCGTGAGTTTGAATTAAGCATGTTCGAATTAATGAGATTCGACTGTATTTATTTCAGCAAGGCAAATGAGATAGCAGTATATTTAAGTACTATTTCTAGGCGCGGTATCAGACATGCATTTCGGTTCTGTTGCTTCCATAGTTGTCACAGAGTTTGACCTCTTTTTACCTCACTGATATCACTACAGTGTACCACGAATATATAGAACCCACATATATCAAATTTCCGGGTACATAAAACTCATAAGTTGTCCCTTTGAAATTTCTTTGTAAAAGAATAGAAATTTCAAGTTTATATCGAACAATATTTTTACCAGCCTTCGGACTCGCCGCGCCCCCGTATCTTCGTGGCAGTGCGGCTCTGCAGGCGAGTTGAAAGGTGCGCTTTGCACTCGCAGCGCGTGGCGACGTTGGCGTGGCACCTTGCCTTTGTCAAAACCTGAAACGCTCGAAAAAAGGTTAGGGCGAGAGGGCTCGGAGTGCACAGTCACTAACCT